GTGGCATTGTCCATTTCAGCAAAGATGTCATGAGATGTAGCAACCTGAGGTCAAGTGAGAAGTTTTAAAAGTTTATGTAGAAGCTTGTAAGTCAGTCAGTTTAGCCAATAGGAAATTGGTGCCAATCAAGGAATCATTGACATGTAGGTGTGGTGTGTTACTGCCTTTTTATTTATGGCTCTGAGTGACTCCAGGTGATTGAGCAAGCGAGCACTTTACCTCCGACTCCCACCCCACAGCCATGTGTGTTTGTGATTGACCCTTTCTTTCTCTTTCATTAGAATATAAGCAGACATCTAAAACATAATAGTAGTAGTAGTAATAAAATCAAGTAGGACAGAGGACAAAACAGATTGGGGGAAAAAAGCACAAGAAACATACAGATGCTGAGACACACATTCACACACACAGCAAACCCATAAAACAAAGTCAGAAATCATATATAAGCAAAAGATCTGTAAGGTTAAAAAAATGCCCAGATAAAGCATTGTAAGACCAAAACCCTCCAGAAATACCATTGAGTTTGTTTTGTGTTGGCCATCTACTGCTGGGCACGGGGACTGCCCAAACATGTTGTTACATGAGATTTTAATTAAAGAAAAAATTTCCCTTTTGCGAGTGGAGTGGTTACCAGTTAGAGATAGCTTAGAGTTAGGGGTGTCCTCTTCCCTCTCAACACAGACCCACATCTGACCCTGTGCATTTGGCCACAGTTTCTGCTTCATGTGTGGGTCAGCTTTGTTGTGTCTGGAAGGCCTTGTTTCCTTGGTGTCTCCTGTCTCCACAGGCTCTTATAATCTTTATACCTCCTCTGCAGGGTTCCCTGAGCCCTGAGGGGAGGAATTTGATGGAGACATGCCATTTAGGACTGAATGTTCTAAGGTCTCACTCTCTGCATATGATGTTGGCTGAGCAAGGGACTTATCTATGAGCCTAACAGGATGTCATTAGGAGTCATTTTATTGCTATGTTCTTTTAGAAGAACTGTAGTATTTGGTTTTCCTCTAGGGCTATGTGTTATCTGGTCTCAGGTTCTTGGCCCCTGAGCCGTGTCAGGCATCTCACCATTCATCTCATGGGATGAGTCTTAATTCCAGTGGTTGATTTATGGAAGGATAGGTGCTTTGCAAATTGCTTAATAAAAATGTGAAGTTGCTTAATCCCAGCACTCGGGAGGCAGAGGCAGGCGGATCTCTGTGAGTTCGAGGCCAGCCTGGTCTACAGAGCTAGTTCCAGGATAGCCTCCAAAACAATACAGAGAAACCCTGTCTTGAAAAACCAAAAAAAAAAAAAAAAAAAAAAAAGTGAAGTTGGGGCCTGGCGAAATGGTTGGATGATTCAGGATGTTTGTTTTTGCAGAAGACTGGAGTTTGATTTCCAGCATCCATATCAGGCCATTCACAACCACCTGTAACTCTAGCTCCAGGGAATTTGGGTCTCCTAGGGCACCTGCACATACGTGGCATTCACATAGAACGTGCACTGACAAACACAGTAATAAAAAAAATTGTGAAGCATCATTGTTAAGTGAAAATGACTTATTTAACCTTTCACTTTTCCTAGACTAAGTTTCTTTGATTTCTGATTTCCCTAAATCATAATGATTTAAAGGGTAGGATTCATAACCTCCCTGAGAGGTTATCCCTCTGGGAAAAAGTGTAAATAAGACCTCAAAGCGGCCTATTGAGCTTGCTCTATCTTAGGACAGGGTGCTTTCAGACTCTTGCCCTCCTAGGGTGTGGGGAGACTTGTTTCCAGTTGAAGTCATCTAGCTGGCCTGCTTCCTGGTGCTGATCTTGGTAGCTTTATCGCTAGCTTGTTTGTTACATTTGGGGTGTGTGTGTGTGTGTGTGTGTCCATATTTGTAGCGATTTCTAAAAGCTCTTTGGAGATGACACAATGTAACCAGAAGCTCTGGCTGAGTCAGGAGGGACTTTGGAGCCTCAGGCTTGTGTTTTCATAGAACTTTATAGTTTTCACAGGTTTGCATTCAGTCTCCATTTGTCTCAACTGTGGATGTGTTTCTAGATGTTTCTAGAAAGAATCTGTTTGAATTGTTTTGTGTTGGACAGAAATAGCCTGTTGAGGTCTAGCATTTGAGGTCAAGGCTGGAGGAAAATGAGTTCTGGGTCAGACTGACTACACAGAATTAATCTGCTTCAGAGAATTGAGAGTTGACGAGTTCTAGAGTGAGAGAAAAGCATTCTCGGGTTGCTGTGTTAGTCATGCTTCATATTTGAGCTGGGAAAGAAGATGGACAGTAATTTAAAATGTAGACTACTTCAAACACAGCAACCCTTCTGCCTCAGTCTCTCAAGTGCTGAGATGAGAAGTATGAGCCACCATGACCTCCTGTGATGTCTGAGAATCCCTGATGCTCAGTTATTGTGGTTTTTGTTCTATTTATTTGTTTTTAAAGGGAAGAGTGTTTGCCTTACTCCTAGGCCACAGTCTGTTGAGGTAAGTCAGGGCAGGAACTCAGCAGGAGCTAGATGCTTGCTCACACAGTAGTTTGGAGTGGGGTTCTAGTGCATTCCTTTGTAAAATTGGGTTGTCAGTAACACTTGAAGGAGAGGTTGCAGGGCACTCCATATCTCAGTAGCTTTATGGATGACTCTGAATTCACAGCATGGAGACTGTTTCTAAGGAGGGAGTGGAGAATTTTCCAGTTACTACCTTGAAAATCTGAAGACCATGGAGTCAGAATCTGAACTTAGCTATTGTAGACAGACAGAGGCAGCTGTCCACCTTCGTGGTATTTGTTGACTGACTTGGGATCAAAGTTTCTGTTACTGATTCTTTCACAGCTGAGCCTTCAAGAAGGTAGACTGACTGGTGCCACCTGCAGCTGCTCCATTGCCAGTTAGGGCGGGGCTTCTCTGGCCACATCATCTACCAAGTTCATTTTGGTGAACCACACAGTTGAATTAACAAAATCAAAATAACAGGACTCGAGAGATGCTCAGTGGTTAAGAACACTTGGTATTCTTGCAGAAGACCTGTGTTCAGTTCTTGTCACCTACATGGTGGCTCACAACCATCTAACTCCATAAGTACCAAGTACACATGTGGCATACATACATTAAAAATATTTTAATTAAATAATTTTGTTTTGCTTGGGTCACATGCAGAACTGCCCCGACTATAGATTCTTTTGGTTTTTTTAAAAGCTGTGAGCCAGATGAGGGTACAAACCTAATAGAACCAGTCCCTGTTCCCCACCCTACTCAAAATCTTTGTCCCATTTGACTACCACATTTTCTCTTGATAATAGATTTTGGTGGCTATGCTTATGGGATAGATTAAAGGTGCCATGATCTGAAGAGTGAGGGCTTTCCAGTGTCCTCCCTCTATATGAAATGGCTGAACATTAAATTGCTGCTTATGACAATGGGCACTGTTGCATGTGGTAAAACCCAATGTTTAAATAATGAAGTTGAAAAGATTTTCCCTCCCATATTTTATATCATTTTTTGGGGGGTTTTGAGACAGTTTTTCTGTGTAGACCTGGCTGGATGTGAACCCAGATCCTGTCTGCCTCTGCCTCCTGAGTGCTGGAATTGAAGGCTTGTGCCACTCTTCCTAGCTCCCTCATACATATTTTAAGCAGGGAGCAGTATGCTCTGTCGATGAAAACCAAGGTGTTCACAGAGATGTAATTGGAAATAATTGTCTGATGCTGCTAAGATATCCATGCCTTTCAAATTAGTGGAGTAAATGGTGATTTCTTCTTTACTACGTGGTAGAAACTGCTGTTAAACACACATCTTAAAGCTGAAGTGGGGCTGGAGAGATGGCTTGGTGTTTAAGGAGCACTGTCTGCTTTCCCATAAGACTGAGGTTTGATTCCCAGCACCCGCTTGGCGGCTCACAACCATGCGTAACTCAAGTTCTAGGGTTCCAGTGTTCTCTTCTGGCCTCCAAGAGCAGCAGGTGCTCATGCAGGCAAAACACTTGATGTCATATACTTAAAATATCAAAAGCGCTGAAATAAAACTGATCTTCTTTATACTGTAATCAGATTTGTATATGTTCTTTGCTTGCATATTTGTTCATATAATTTTATCTCTTAAATAAGGTGACTGTCTGTTGTGTGGTTTTCTCTGGGGGAGATGTGAACAAATGCCTGCCTTTGTGAGCCTGTTAGTAACTCTGTCACCAAAAGCTCTCATCCCATCCTGGGTGATTACTCACAAAAACTATATGGGTTTCCATAGGGTGAACAGTCTTGGGTCTTATGAGTCCTGTATGTTTTGGGAACTTCCTTAAATGAGACTTGTGAGTTGCATTTCTTACTGAGCCTTGAATTGCTCTGTAGTATTAAGGAAGTTTCCTCTAGGGACTTCAGAGCTGTCATTGCTGTGGATTCTACACTTAGTCTAGGAACTGTAGTTGGGAAACAGGATGTGATGTTTCCAATTGGGAGGTTGCTGCATGTACCAGGTCATGTCAGAGGATGTGGAGGATCTATAGGTATCTTTTTAAACAGAAGTATTAACTGTCAGTCTCCATATTTTTGGTTTTAGTTCAAAAGTGTCTTATTAACTGTATACTATTTGATTTTGATTACTTTTTTTAAACAATAAACCAGTGAGAATGTTAATTTTTGTATTTGTAAGGGTCAATTTTTTTTAAAGGTTTAGTTATGTATATAGTATTCTGCCTGCATATATCATTGCAGGCCAAAAGAGGCACCAGATCTCATTATAGATGGTGTGATCCACCATGTAGTTGCTGGGAATTGAACCCCAGGTCCTCTGGAAGAGCAGCCAATCGCTGAGCCATTTCCCCAACCCCTGTTTTTTCCTTTTTTTTTGAGACAGAGTTTTTCTGTGGCTTTGGAGGCTGTCCTGGAACTATCTCTTGTAGACCAGGCTGGTCTCAGACCCACAAAGATTCACCTGCCTCTGCCTTCCGAATGCTGAGATTAAAGGCGTGCACCACCAACGCCCGGCTGCACTTCTGATTGTTGACTGACACGTTTTGGTATTGTTTTACAGGTTGAATCGACCAAAGCAATGGTTATGGAGAAGCCTAGTCCCCTGCTGGTCGGGCGGGAGTTTGTGCGACAGTACTACACCCTGCTGAACCAGGCCCCGGACATGCTGCACAGGTGTGTTCTCTCATGTGCCTAGGAAGGGTGTTGTGGGATGGTCCTTCACATAAGCACCTATAGGTAGAGGTTTAGAAAAAAAGCATAAGGTCCTATCTGTAGCCCTGGCCTGGCCTGGGATTCAGAGGTCTGCCTGCCTGTGCCTCCTGAGTGCTGGGATTTTAGTGTTACTTTATCTTACTAATGCTGTTAACGATTGCCTTTTCCTGCATTTTCATTCCTATTGAGGGTGTAGCGGAGAGGGGCCTAGTGGAGTGATGAGGCTATGAGTTCCTTTAAACATGTGAAAAGTAGCAGCATGTTGTCTGGTGTATTGGTACACACCTTTAGTCTTAGCACTCAGGATGCAGAGTCAGGTGACTCTTTTGAGTTTGAGTCCAGTCTGGTCTACATAGTAGGTTCTAGCCAGAGCTACATAGGAGAAACCTTATCTCAAAAAGATGGTAACAAGTTCAAGTTGCTGAAAAATAAAGCAGCAATAATGTGGGCTCACTTATTTTAGGGTTTATTGGGTTGACCTCAAATGTCTTCAGTGATCTTTAGTTGGCATTTGTTGTACATCTGTCTGTCCTTTTAATGAAATTAGGGTATCTTGAGTGTTTAGAGAGAGACAGACAGACAGAGAGACAGAGAGAGAGAGCGCTAAAGGGGTAAGAAGTTCATACCTCCTGCACACAGGACAACTGCCCACTGCCTTCTCAGGTGGGAAGGGACTGACTGTTTGGTTCATGACAGGGCAGCTGTCCTCAGCTGAAGCAGGAACTTGACTTTGATTTTAAGTGCCTGGCTTTGCTGACAAACTCCAAGGTCCTTCCCAACATGATCATCCTACCCTGAAACCTGGAAGTCGGGACTTGAAAACCACACACAGGCCTCTTTGACTGACTAGTCTGACTCCGGGTGTGTGTGTGCAATGGATTTATCGTGCACAAACATAGAGTCCCTGCTGTGAGTCTGCCAGTGAAGTGGATAGGGATCAAGCCTGAACATTAAGTACCTGATCTGCGGGTCCTTGAAGATGAGAAGTAAATTGCCTTCTCTTGTACAGATTTTATGGAAAGAACTCTTCCTATGCCCATGGGGGCTTGGATTCCAATGGGAAGCCAGCGGATGCGGTCTACGGGCAGAAGGTGGGTGCTATAGACCAGTAGTGGAAGAGGGGGTAGCTTGTTGCCTACCAGGCATTTGGTTCTTGGGAGGGTGACTCCTCTTTAATTCTTTAGTTTGCTGAAATGCCTGTGTGTTGTCACATTACATTTCTGTGTTAGATAACTGACTTCTGTATAGGAATGCTATTTCTAAACTTAAAAGGTATTCATTCAAGACAGATATTTGAATTTTTTTTGTTCAAGGCAGGGTTTCTCTGTGTAGCAGCTCTGGCTGTCCTGGAACTCACTTTATAGACCAGGCTGGTTTTGAACTCACTGAGATCTGCCTGCCTCTGCCTCCCAAGTGCTAGGGTTAAAGGTGTGTGCTACCCACCCAGCCAGTACTTTATTATTTGAGACATAATTTTGATATATGTTTTTGGCTGGCCATCCTGCCTCAGCTTCTCAAGTGCTTGGATTATACATACATGTGGCGGGACAGCTTTTTTTTTTTTTTTTTTTTTTCCGAGACAGGGTTTCTCTGTGGCTTTGGAGGCTGTCCTGTCCTGGAACTCGCTCTGTAGACCAGGCTGGCCTCGAACTCACAGAGATCCGCCTGCCTCTGCCTCCCGAGTGCTGGGATTAAAGGCGTGCGCCACCAACGCCCGCCCGGCTGGGACAGCTATTTTTTAACTGAGCTGTGATCACTGGAAGCAGAGCACAGGCAGACAGTTGGACTATATTATATAAGCAGCAGTATATGCGTCTTTTTTTTTTTTAAATCTGTTGTATTGGAAAATTTTTAGTTTTTAAAGTTCTTTTAAGGATATGTTTTTTATGTATATGAGTGTTTTGCCAACATACATGTACCATGTGAATTCCTAGTGCCTGAGGAGGCTAGGAGAGTCCTTTGGATCCCCAGCAATTGGAGTTGCAGTGAACACAGGTCCTCTCTAAGAGCAGTAAGAGATCTTAACCATGGAGCCATCTCCTGCTCTGAGGTGTTTGCATTGATTGATTTTAGGGTGAGTGTGACTGCCATGGCATGCACGCAGAGGTCAAAGGACACCTTTTCTGGAGCTCTCTGCTTCTGCCTTAGAGGTCCTAGAGATCACATGCAGATCATTATGCCTGACCAGCCTGGGATTCTTTTTTTTAGTTTTAACTAGGTGTCATGTAAAATTTTTAAGGTGTTAATTGCAGTCCTGTAGAAGTCTCTGGTTTTGTTGCATACTGTTCTCACTGCTGAAGCAAAACCCCTGACAGAAGCATTTAGGCAGGAAGGACTATTGAGGCTCTTGGTTCAGAGGCGTGATCAGTGGGGCTGTAGCAAGGGTATGAGGTAAGCGCTGGTATTCAGTTCCCATCCTCTTTTATACAGCACAGGGCCCTCGCCTGTGGAATGGTGCTGCCCACGGTTAGGGTGGGTCTTCACACCACAATTGACCTAATTTAGACTCCTCACAGGCATGCCCGGAGGATTGTCTCCTAGGCAGTCCTAGCTACCGTCAAGCTCACTGAAGCCATGGAACAGGTTTTTGCACTTAGTGTACTTGTTGTGTTGCTCTTGATTGCTTTTGAGACTCTGCTCAAGGACTGCTTGCAGAAGCAGGAGGTAGGGCTGAGTGTCAAGGACCAGATCCGAGAGAACACAGGGAGGAGTTGTCAGGCCCTGATTTGGTGTTGGTAGCTGCTGTCCTGCTGAACTTGGTGCTGAACTGCTGAATTCCTGGGGGATTGACTCTTGCCTCCATTCCTCAGGAAATCCACAGGAAAGTGATGTCACAAAACTTCACCAACTGCCACACCAAGATCCGCCACGTGGATGCCCATGCCACTCTGAATGATGGGGTGGTGGTCCAAGTGATGGGGCTGCTGTCTAACAACAACCAGGCTCTGCGCAGGTTCATGCAGACCTTTGTCCTTGCTCCTGAGGTATGTTGGCTTTGTAGTGAGACAGCATTTAGAGACTAAAAGCTGTGTGTAGTCTCTAGATTCCTGGCAGCCCAGGCTTATAGGAATGGCCACAGGGATAGAGCTGACTTGTCCCTCTGGCCTGGAGCTCTATGGTGTTTGCACTGGCCCAGGGAGATGTGTTATGGGGGGGGGTCTCTTCCTTCTAAACTATTTGAAATGAAGGACACTTTTTAACTATTCAACTGGCATTTCCTTGGGGCAAGGAATTCTGTCCTGTTACCAAATTCAGGAAATACTACTCAATATAACTCACTCAATTATCCATATTCAATTTCTGAGACTATGCCAGTATAGTCTTCCATAGGGGTTTGTTTTTCTTGATCCCAGATTCCATGTATCCATTGTGTTCCCCTGGTCGTGTGTCTGCTTCCCCCTCATTTGTACCTTACTCTTCGGATTTGCTTGGCATGGACAGTTCTGAAGAGCACAGTCACAAGATCGATGTTCACATGTCATGTGTTTTTCTTCTGGTCATCATTTAGTGGCAGTGCTGCCATTTAGTGGCTCTGGTTTCCCCAGGTAATGCATACAGGCCTTGCCACTAAAGTCAGGCAGCTTTTGTATCTGGTTTGTAAGTAGTGACCGATTCTTGGGTCCTGTATAGATGTGCTGCTCTTTATCAGAGGTTGGTTCTTGACTGAGTAGAAGAATGACCAATAGGAATGTCTGGTCTCACCCACCACCCTGTGTTCATTCATTATTGGCATTATCTTATAAAGAACCACCCTCTCTCCATCATTCATGTATTTCTAGTATATTTTGTATGTTTCTCATTAGTAACTGTTGAACATATCCCTCATGTCCAGGGCCTAGTCAGTGGGAACTCTTCATGCTGTCCTGTTCTGATGTGGGCACAGGATGCCCTTGTGTCCTGGCCCCTTAAGCCCCATTGAGGAATTAGCTTGTTCCATTCCCGGTTCTTTGTTGTTAGGCTTCTGAAGGTTGCACAGGTGGGTGACGGATGCCATCTGTGCCTTCTTCAGAGAGCTGGGGCGGGAAGCTGTGTATGGAGTCTGCTTATAAGGACTTGCTGAATAAGTGCTTTCTCCCACATTCATCTAAAAAATTCTTTTAGGTTAGTAAAATTACTATCCATATCTTTAAGAATTCTTTTGGAGGGGCATTTAAGACAGGGTTTCTTTATGTAGCTCTAGCTGTCCTGGATCTTGCTGTGTAGACCAGGCTGGCCTCGTTTCTCCTGCATTGCTTCTCAAGTACTAGGATTAAAGGAGTGTACCACTGCTGCCTGGCAGATGTTTTTGTTTTGAGATAAAACCTCATTAATGTAGCTCAGACTGTCCTGGATATCCTGGTGATCCTTCTGCCTTAGCCTCCCAAGAGCTCTGATTGCAGGTATGTACCATCATTGAGTGTGTTGTCAAGGTTTTTGAAGGAAGACTTAACATTAATGTGTAAACTACTTGGCAGCTATGGTGGTATATACATGTTATTCCAGTTTTAAAATCTGTTTTTGTTTTATATTTTGTCTGCATGCATGTAGTGTGTTTAGAGGCCAGAGGACAGTGGATCCCCATGTGGGTGCTGAAAATTGAGCCTGGGTCTTCTGCAAAAGCAGCTAGTGCTCCTAAACCACTGAGCCATCTTTCCAGTCCAGCAGTTCCAGCTGTTGAGAAGCTGAGGCAGAAGGTTTGCTAGTTGAGATCAGTCCATAGAAAACCAAGAGATGAATCTCAAAGGAGGAGGAAGACTGATGACTTCTCCCCATGGGGAGGATTTTACAGCCTATGTTGTTCATCAGACAGGCTAATCACAGTTCCTTTTTGTCTTTCAAAGGGAGCATTTATCTCCTCCCTTAAGAAAATGAATAGTTAGATAAACCATGTCAATGCATACACAAATCACTATATGTTTTGATATCCTACTTTATGTGGTTGAGGGAACAACCTTAGAAATTGAACAGACAATAAATGACATGATTGGATTTGGGCTCAAGTATGTCTAAATCCACATGAGAGATCTAGATATACTACCATGATTTCTGGATTAATATTCTTATGTAAGAGTAAGGGCATTTTAAATACCTTGAGACTACAATGCCTGTAAATGGTTGAAAAGTTGTCTTTGGCATCCTACGAAAAGAGTTTTGCTGATCTCTCTGTCTCTGTAAGTGTCCATCTGGTGGTAAGGATGAATATTTTAACAATATGTCCATGTGGTTCTTTACCACTGTGTATGAACAGGATTTCACACAGTAGGGCTTTCAGTCTTGGCACAGATGACATCGGCTGTCATGAGTGCTGTTGCCATTTACACTCTGTTCTTTCAGTTGTCAGAAGCCAACCTCTGTTATTAAAACCGAATGTTTCTAGATGCTGCCAGGTGTCTGCAGGGGCAAAATTTCTTACCCGAGAACTGCTGTTGTAGTCATTTGTGGCTTTTTTTGTTTTTAACAAAAGGAAGAGTTCATCATGGCAGTGGGAATACGAGGCAGCTAGCTACATGCATCAGAAGCAGAAAGTAGAGAGATGAATGCTCATGATTCAGTTTTTTATAAGTCCGAATAACTGAAAACTTGTTGCTGACATTTCAGGGCTCTGTTGCTAACAAGTTCTATGTTCACAACGACATCTTCAGATACCAAGATGAGGTCTTTGGTGGCTTTGTCACTGAACCTCAGGATGGTAAGTGTGAAGCCACAGATGGTTACTTGCGTGGGATTTGTAAGTGGCATCAGGCTGACTTCTGAGAGTGTTTTTTGTTAATTAATCTCATCAGAGCATGGGGGTTCTCCTAGTTAGTATGAATGGTTAGTTTGTTTTGGAACAGAAACAGAACAGTTACCCTGGCTCAATGTAGAACACCATGCGGAGAGCCTGGCACACCTGTGCTGCAGAGTGGTGTTGAAAGATGTGCAACCCTTCCTCTAGGAACCCCACTTTTGTAGAGTGGGCAGTCAGGGTGTCTGCCTTTGCTCTGCAGGAAATGCTGTCCTGGAGTTTTGGGCATTTGACAGTGTGGATGATGGCTGGAAGAAAGGGCAGGGTGGAGTGTGCAGGTCAAACCTGTGGAGAGTAGTCTCTGTATATCCCACCCAGCTTTACGTAGAAGCCTGTTAGGTGTATTCCTCCATCCTGTAGGCTGGGTAACTCACCTAACAAGGTGGGGAGGCCTGCTGCTGCAGATGTGTGGGCTTTGCTTTTTTTGGTCAGTTTATTGACCTTGCTCCACGGTGTTCCTCACAAAGTCTGATATTTTCTTTCTGAGAAGGAATTTCACATCACTGTTTGTTACTGTTGTTAACAGCATCCCTGGGAAAGAGGAGTCATTTGAGGGTGTAGATTTGAGAGCTTCCCAGGCTGTTTTCCTCTGGGCTGTAGGCCATCCATCCTGATGAGAAAGAACCATGTAACCAGAGCAGTGGGCAAGGACCGAAATCACGTGCTTATTCTGTAGTCTCACAGTTTACCTGGCTGCATGAGTGCCTTCAAGGCTGCTTTTGTAATAAACACAGGTGCTCTGTTGATCAGTCTTCACCTTTTTTGTGTACTCCATTTTCTCAACTGAGACAGATGGGAGCTGACAGAGCCCAGTGCAGAGTAACCTCCCCTACCCTATCCCAGAATTCAGAGCAATTGCAAATCCTGTGGCAGACAGCTCAGATTCTCTCTTGCTTTGATAAAATGCCCCAACTTTAGGAAGAAAGGTTTGTTTTTGATTTTGTTTTTGGCTCACAGTTTAAAGGGGACAAGTCCATCATGGAGGGGGAGGCATGATGACAGGCACATGAGTCATGTGGCAAGAGTCTGTCCTTAAATAAAATGCTTTATTTCCCCTCCCCCAAGTCTGTGCTAAAGTCTTTATCAAATTGCCCTACTTTCTTTGCTGTGTTTTTTCTTTGTATCTATAGTAGAAACTGAGTTAAGGAACTTGTGGGTTTAGAGTGATTGTAGTTATTTTTCATATTTTCTTCTTAGAATCTGAGGAAGAAGTAGACGAACCTGAAGAAAGACAGCAGACACCTGAGGTGGTGCCTGATGATTCTGGAACTTTCTATGAGCAGACGGTCAGGTAGGGGAACTTCTCTTCACTTGTCCAGGCTTGCAACAAGAAGTTAAATTGTGTTGGAGACAGACATGTCTCCTAAGGATTAATCTCAGGCAATGAGCAGGGGCTGGGCCTCTGTGTGCACCAAGTCCTGGGTTTGATGCTCAGCACTGTCTAAGTAATCCCATGTTTCAGAGGCTGAGGTGAGGAGATTGCTGTGCATTTCCTCATAGCCTGGAGCGACTATGAGGAAAGCAATGGTAATTTTCTAGGAAAATACTTTGTTGTTTTTGACTAGGAAGCAATATGCAACTTGTTTATTTTTATAGAATATACTGTGAAAACTGTTTAGAAAATATTTGAGTCACTTGTTTGGTTCAGGTTGTCTTGGAGACAGGAGTTCACTGTGCAGCCAAGACTAGTCTGGAACTTTTAGGGTCATTTGTCCCAGCCTTCCAGATGTCAAAGCTATAAGAATCATTACAAGTTTCACAGTCCAGTACTGTGGCTCAGAGAAGGCTGGGATATTTTGATTCCTGATGGAAGGAGAGAACTGTTCTATGCAAGCTATTCTGTGACCTCCACGGGTATGCGGTGACACACGTGGCCAGCCCTCCTCCCCATAATAAGTAAATGCAATACAAATTTTTAAGGTTGTCTTGGGCTGGAGAGACTTCTTGCTGCTCTTGCAGAAGACTTGAGTTCCCACCACCCACACGGTGACTTAGAACTTCTTAACCCCAGCTTCAGGGGTTCTCATGTGTTCTTCTGGCATGGATGCACACTCAGAAACATAGACACATGAAAAATAATTTGTTAAAGCAAGTTTTGAGCTACATGACAAAACCCTTCTTTAAAATTACTTTCTTATGGCCTCAAACAATGAGTATAGTGTCTTTGTTTTGTCCTGCTCCTGGGGCAGAAATGTTTTTGATGGGCCAAAATGTGTACTGTTGCCATGGATGTTCCACATGTCAATACTTAGTACTCAAACTTTTCAGATGTTTACCTGTTCACTCTGGCTCAGAGTGAAGAATGTGCTTTACCACGGACCTATTGAGGAAAAACATGGCCAGGGACAGTGTGTCTTGACAACTGGCGTGGAAATATAACCATAGTTTTGAGGTGTGACTGATGTCTTCTCTCCCAGAATTCCTTGTGTGTTTTTTCCTTGTTGATTTTTTTTAAGATTTATTTATCTGTATTTTATGATTACATGTGAGCCTTTTGTCTATATTTGTGTCTGCATGCCAGAATAGACAGTTATGAGCTGCCATGTGAGTGTTGGGAACTGAACTCAGGACCTCAGAGAAAACCCGTGCTTTTAACCACCGAGCCATCTGTCTCTTCAGCTCTTTTCTGTGGATTTTGATACTGTCTGACCTCACTAGCCTTGTTGTGCCTTAGCTAGACCTTAGACAAAGATCAGAGAGTTTCATCAATGCATTGGTTCTGTAATACACATAAAAATGCTAATTAATAGTAACTGAATGAGTCACTTGATTCTGTTTGATCCTTCTTACCGTATGGTCATCAGATCACCAGAATTTAACAAACAGCTTTCTCTGGAGTCATTAGGTAACTCAAGTGTCTGGGTGAGTCACAAAGACAGGCTTACATTTCTCAAATTCTCCTGTGACAGCAACGACTTGGAGGAGCATTTAGAGGAGCCTGTTGTGGAGCCAGAGCCAGAACCGGAGCCGGAGCCGGAGCCAGAACCTGTGCCTGACATCCAGGAGGACAAGGCTGAGCCTGCGTTGGAGGAAGCTGCTCCTGAGGATGTGCAAAAGAGCGCTTCCCCGGCCCCAGCGGATGTTTCCCCAGCACAGGAGGACTTGAGGGTATGGGTTGGGCTTAGCACTATGTTCCTGTTTCTTGTTGTTGTAAAGATCAGTCCTAGGCCATGAGTACATGTGCAGTGTTGGTTGCTATAGAGATTGCTGCTGGGGAGACTTGATTCTCATGTCTCCCAGGCTGGCCTCAAACAAACTCCATACAAAGCTGACCTTGAGCTTCTGACCCTGGCTTCCATCTCCTGAGAACCAGGCTTGTGCCACCGTGCCTGATTTATAAGGCTCTGGGGACTAAACCCAGGACTTCGTGCAGGCTGCTAATTGAGCCACATCCCCACTCTGTTGGTTTGTTTGTTTGTTTGTTTATTAGTTGTATGTTTTGGTTTTTGGAGACAGGGTTTCTCTGTGTAGCCCTGGCTCTCCTGGAACTTGCTCTGTAGGCCAGGCTGGCTTTGAATTGAGAGACCCTCCTGCCTCTGTACCTGAATGCTGGGATTAAAGGTGTGCTCCTGGCCTTCTGCTAATTTATTTTTAAAATCTCGTTTTCTCCATCATAATTATTTGGTTGACTTTGAACTGGTCTCACTGTGTATCCCAGGCTAGCCCTTCTTAGTCTCCAAACTATTGGGATTAGAGGGGTGTACTGGTATGCTTGGCTACTTCCAAGTTTTATAAGCTGTACTCAATTTGTAAGCTGGCAGATGCTTGTAGACTCTGCTGCCTGTGATTGGGAAGCAGAAGTTAGTGACTCTATTGCTCTGATGTGTGTTCTTCTCCCCTAGACGTTTTCTTGGGCATCTGTGACTAGTAAGAACCTTCCTCCCAGTGGGGCTGTTCCAGTGACGGGGACACCACCCCATGTGGTAAAAGTGCCGCCTTCACAGGTAAGGATCTGAATTTAGGACTTGATAGATTTGACCACTTTGGAAGTGAACCTCAATAGGTGTAGAGAATGGGAGCCTGGTGTACAGGGAGGAGAGAAGAGGAGGTAGGTGGTGGTGGTTCACTCATGGGCTCATTGAGGCCCCAGTAGCATGGTGAACTATGCAGTAACTTGGCCAGAAAGCAGGTTCTTCCTTGGTTTGAAGTTTTCTTTCTAGGAGGATGTGTATACACACAGGTCTGTGCATGCATGTGAAGGCAGAGGCCAGCTTCAGATGTTGTTCCTTGGGGCTGTGCACTTTTTTTTTTTTGAGACAGTGTCTTTATAGACCTGGAGCTCTCACATTAGGTAGGTTGACTAGTTAGCCTCAGGGAGCTACCTATCCTCCTTGGAGCCAGAATTGCTATTTTCTAGCTTAACAGTTTTGTTTAAGAAGATAGACAAGGGGTGGCTCAGCTCTTAGGAGCATTTACTACTGCTCTTGGAGAGGACCGGGATTCATTTCCCAGCACCCACACGGTGGCTCAGAGCTGTCCAGTCCTAGGGGATCCAGTGTTCTCTTCTGGCCTCTCTAGGCGGTGAATGCACTTGGTACAGAGAGACTTGTGCAGGAACACATAATTTTTTGTTGGTTTTTTTTTTTCGAGACAGGGTTTCTCTGTAGCTTTGGAGCCTGTCTTGGAACTTACTCTGTGGACCAAACTCACAGAGGTCCATCTGCCTTTGCCTCTGAGTGCTGGGATTAAAGGCATTTGCCAGCACCATCTGGCAGGAACACATAATTTAATAAAAATTTATTTTTAATGTTTGGTGTGGATATTTTGCCTGCAAGTATGTTTGTGTGTCACATACCTGTCTGCTGTTCTTGGAGGCCAGAAGAGGGCATAGTGGTTCCTGGGACTGCAGTTATAGCAGGTGGGTGCTGGGAACTGAACTTTGATTCTTAGCAAGAGCTACCAGTGCTCTGAACTAACTGAACCACCATGTGGGTGGGTGGCTGGATTAATGACTTAGTGGTTAAGAGCTCTTAATGCTCTTGCAGTGTATCTGGGTTCACAACCATCTGTAATTATTCCAATTCCAGGGAATTCATACAATGTTCTCTTCTGGCCTTCTCCTACACAGACATACACACAAAGTTAAAAAAGAAAAGTGAAAACTAAGTAACAAGGCTGGTGAGATGGTTTTGTGAGTAAAGGCACCTGTCACCAAGCCTCACAACCTGAGTTGGATATGTGGGACCCACTTTTATGTGTGTGTAGCACTTACATATAATACATGTAATTAAATTTTTTTAAAAAGAAAATTACCATCAGATAAGCTTCTTTGGCTTCCCACAAAAGGTAATCAGCAACCTTTTTTAGCCCCGTCCAGAATCTAAGCCTGAATCTCAGATTCCACCACAAAGACCTCAGAGAGATCAGAGAGTTCGAGAGCAACGGATCAATATCCCTCCTCAGAGAGGACCCCGGCCAAGTAAGAGCTTTGAGAACTTGTCTGGCTTGGGGTGGTTTTGAGAGAACTTCTCAGTCTGGCTGGTGCAAAGGAACAACTTGGTTTTGGGTGGGGGGAACTTGTTTTTGAAGGGTCTCTGAGAGTCTTGTTTTGTCTCTGAAGTCCGTGAGGCTGGTGAACCAGGAGATGTGGAACCTCGAAGGATGGTGAGGCACCCTGACAGTCACCAGCTCTTCATCGGGAACCTGCCACATGAGGTTGACAAATCGGAACTGAAGGATTTTTTTCAAAGTAAGTGCTGTGTCTCAATGTGGTCGTGATTTCCTAGATAGCACCATATAGGCACAGACAGGTGTAATGTTAGGTCTTCTAGTAACAAGGAATGGACTTAATGGTCTGGTTAGTCTGGGTCTGGAATGAACCTTTGCTTCCACAAACATGACTTCTGCCTGAGCAGTCACACCAAAATAACGGATGTCATAGCTGGCACTTCCCTTGATCATGACACCAAGTGGAAAATTCCACCCTGATCTGGGTGTCATGAGTTGTAGACATGCTACAGCGTTGCATTATACTCTTTCACAGTGGTGAATAGGGAGCATGTGAGACATAATGCATTGTCTTTTTTTTTTAAGGATATTTTCTTTATTAAGATTTATTTATTTATCACATATACAGTGTTCTGCCTACATGCCAGAAGAGGGCACCAGATTGAATTGTAGATGGCTGTGAGCCACCGTGTGGTTGCTGGGAATTGAACTCAGGACCCCTAGAAGAGCAGTCAGTGCTCTTAACCTCTGAAATGCATTGTCTTTTATATTTGGGTTTGCTCTCCAAGTTCACAACCCCATAGCCTGAAACCTTCAGATCTTGGTTAGTGTAAGCATTCATCTAAGGGACATTTGAACTCTTTTGCATTTTAGTGTGACATCTTGGAAATCATTTTAAATTCATTAGCACATCTTTGCTTGATGTAAGTTGAATGCTGTAAAGCTGGGTGCCTGCGCTGAAATTATGAGCTCTTTGCCTTTACAGATTATGGGAACGTGGTAGAGCTGCGCATCAACAGTGGCGGGAAGTTGCCCAACTTTGGTTTTGTTGTGTTTGATGATTCTGAGCCTGTTCAGAAGGTCCTTAACAATAGGGTAAGCAGATTTGCATCTGTGTGTGTGTGTTTTTTAAGATTTATTTTTATTTTATGTGTGTGTGTTTTGACTGCATGTATGTATGTGTGCCAGGTATGTATAGTGCCCTCAGAAACAACTCCCAAGGCTTGTTGACCAGGCAGGTGGCACTTCAAGTGCTCTCCACCCTCTGCATTTCACTGCCAAGTGACGTTTACTGCACTTACTTCAGTATTTGCTTGTGGGTTTAGCACTGCCTCTTTGAGTGTTATGGGAGGCCACGCTCACATTCTTTTTCACGTGCCTTCCTTTCTCCTAACCTGCTCTCATTGGGAGTTTTTCATGGTTTTACTTGTGGTACCAGTATTTAGCCCCAGTATGAGAAGGTTTTTAACTCCAAAGCTGTGGCGGCATCTTTACATCATTGTGTTTACCTGAAGCTTGCTTTAGTTATTAGAGAGTCACTCATGTTCCCGGGGCTGTTTAAACTGGCTCTTTTCTACTTTCTGCACAACTCACCACATGTGCACAAGCAGAGTAGATATGTGAGAACTGGTTGTCGAGAGCTGCTTGCTCCTTAGGGTTGCTTTGTTCGCTACTGATAGGGTCAGGGGCCGGTCTAAGTGTCTGTTTCTTTGTTCCTCACACAGCCCATCATGTTCCGAGGCGCTGTCCGTCTGAACGTGGAAGAGAAGAAGACGCGGGCTGCCAGGGAAGGCGACCGCAGGGATAACCGCCTTCGGGGACCCGGAGGCCCCCGAGGTGGGCCGAGTGGCGGGATGAGAGGCCCTCCGCGCGGAGGCATGGTGCAGAAACCAGGCTTTGGTGTGGGCAGGGGGATTGCAACTCCAAGGCAGTGAATTGCTTGGCCCAGATCTCCACACAGCACACAGCCCTGGCTCCTGCAGAATGGTGAATTCCTTCAACCAGCCTTTGGTGTCTTGGAGTAGTCTATTATAAACTGCTCAAGTTTGTACAATTTTAATTTTGCTTGTGTTCATGGTGTGTGCCCCCCACTCCCCCCTTTCCTCCCCTGACCTTTTAGTCTTTCACTTCCAGTTTTCCGGAACGATACTTTAGGAGGAGTAGGGTTTTAAAGAAGAGGAGGGAGTCTCACCTTCCTGCTCACGCTGCAGATAAAGACTGGAGTGTGACGGCCATTCCCCAAAGGAGCGCGTCTCACTTCTCACTGACAATGGATGTTTCATTTGTTGGGAGACACAAGATTTGATAAACATTTTGGAAGCAGGAAAAATCCATGTTATCTGTCAAGAGTCACGACTCCTTTCTGGTGTGGAAAAATTGCCTTTGGGCAACTGCCACTGGGTCCCCCCTGGTGTGGCTAACTGAATAAAAGGTGTTTCCAGAACTTTGTTCTTTTGACATGTGATTACCAAACAGTTCCAAACCTCTGTTTTTGCCATTGGATTTTAAATTGTGACGTAGCCTGTCAATGTCTAGAACGCAGCTAAGGATTTTTGTTGAACTGTTAGTTTTTTTGAGGTAGAGTTTTTCATGTTTTATTTGTATTTGTAAAAAAAAGAAAAAAAGGACAAAAAATCCCCGCAAGAAAACAAACCCCAAATCTGATAACAAAACCAAGCAAAACTGTGCCTTCTATTTATCTTTGATTCCGGTCCTGGCAATTGTTTAAAGAAAAGTAATAAAGATTCTAGATTTGTTTTCAGATTCAGAGTATGTGGGGGAACTGTAGAATTTTTTTGATCACGTGTATGTGTCGTGTTAACATTGTTCTGCCTTATCCTAAAATCACGCCTCAGACTGGATCGCTTTGGAGGAAGGTGCTTCTGTGAGGCCTCTGACCTCAGTGGCTGACGGGCCGCGTCCTACTCTGCTGTCTATCGGGTTCCTGATTGGCCCCTCAGAAGGAATTGGCTTGAATCTTGGACTTAGCTAATGTGCTCCAGGGTCTGCATATTTTTTTTTCTTTAAATCATAGCCATATGGTAAATTTTCTATTTTGTTACGGTTCTCTTACTGATGGACATGCAGTGGGTATTTCATGGAAAAGGCCAATTTTTATTAAAATATTTCTGGAAGAAAACTTCATCTGGCAATGTAGACTGCTAAAACTCACTTCACAGTGTTGTGTTGAGTGCTGTGTATGAAGTGGGTGAAGGTTTTCTCCATATAGCCTCGGTGTATGGACAACCAGATTGTCAAATCTAACTTTTCCTAATGTTATTTGTGTGTATGAGTGTGTGTGTGTGTGGTGTGTTCACACAAGGGTATACCACAGCGTACTTGTAGGAGTCAGATTGGGTGGCAGTCCTTATAGTCCACCCTGTTTGAGACAGTCTTATTTTTCTTTGCATAGGCCAGGCTAACTGGCCTGTAAGCCACAGGCAGTCCAGGGACTGCAGATGTGTGCCAGGGCTGGCTTTTCTGTGGGTTCTGGGGATTAGAGTCAGATTTTCACACTTGCACATACCGTGTTTGTCATCTCTCCTGTTCATTTTGAAAATGGTCATGGATAGGTAAGTTCTAGTTTGGACGAAAATGAGAGGTTATCAGTTTGGGCTCAGTACCTCACAGATCTGAATATTGGCAGCATCTACAGGTGATGACTGACTTACGGTCAGTTTAAATATCTTCATTTGTTTCAGGCCAGTGATTATAGGAAAGGGTTCAGCAGGTATTTTGTATAGATTACATAAAGTGTTGGATGGCGCATGGCTTTAATCCAGCACTCGGGAGGCAGAAGCGCGTGCGTCTGTGAGACTAACCTGGTCTATGAAGCAAGTTCCATTTTAGCCAAGGCTGCAGAGTGTGACCTTGTCAAAAAACAAAGGCAGCCAAAGAGAGAAAAAAGGTACCTCAGACTACTTCTGAAAAACACTGAAGCAGTGTACGTTGGCACAGGCCTGTAGTCTCAGATAATAGGCCTTGGGCACAGGAAAATCTCAAGTTCAAAGCCAGCCTGACCTATGAAACATCTGTCTCGGTAACTCAGTAAATCTAAAAATGATTTTCACAATTGAGTACTAAGTCAAATAGAAGGTCTTCCTAGCCAGGAGTACTAACCCAAAGAGGTGATTGGCGTTTGGCTGTGTAAGTTGAGGTGTCATGGGATCATGGCTCTGCCCCTTACATTCTTTGTGACATCTGGATTGATCTGAAAAATAAAGCAATCTCCTGTGGGTACAGGTAATGGTGGTGGGATTGGCAGATGGAAGGAAGTGCTGTTCTCCAGCCTCAGATATGTGACCTCTACTGTGCATGGGTGTGTTCATGCATGTGTGTGTGCGCCCTAATTGCTTCTGACAGGTTAGGGAATTACTTGAGCCCCACTTCACAGCAGTGGGGTTGGGATAGGGGTGCTTTGAGAGGGCATGGGCCTGACAGGACTTGGTAGCACAGTTGGCACTGAGAGTGAATGTCAGTCTGCCAATATTGGTACCTTGTGAAGCCTAAACCACAGCTTAGAGGCACCCACGGCCATACAGAAAGCACAGGGTCTCTGTAAGTGACTGACCCTCAGCCTTCTCAGATGAAATTAAGATCTGTAGGGGTGACTCAGTGCATATAGTTCTTTGCCATTGAGCAGGGTCTTAACCAGGACTTGTATTTTAGTCAAGTTGAGTCCTAGTCTTTTATTTATGTGTACATGAGTGCATGTTTGTGTGAATGTTTGCCATGTGTGTGCAGGTGCTTGGGGAAGTCAGAAGATGTTGGTGACCCCCCTGGAGTTGGAGTTAAGGTGAGTGGGCCCTCCCATAGAGGTGCTGGGAACCGAACTCGTGTCCTGAAAGAGCGGCAAGATGCTCTTAGCCACTAAGCATCTCTCTCTCCAGCCCTGAGACTCTGTTAGAAGTAAGTAAATCTTAACCAAAACTGTTTCATTTGCTTTCATGGTGAGGTAGTATTCCTGCCTTCTTCAGTCTCAGCTGCTGCTGGGGAGCCAGTGTGGGTTGGATAGTTAAAATAAGGGCCCGAGGCACATACTTGTCCTGGTGCACAGAAGGCTGGGTGAGAGAGGTTTGAGTTCAAAATCAACCTTGATTAGAAAGCATGAACTTGTCTCAAACGCAATACAACAGAAAACAAGTGAACCCATTTAATTTTCATGTCTACCTTGTGGATTATGGCACAGTAACAAGGGGAGGAGATGGCCTGAAGCAGTTGGATGAGCAGGCAGGGCTTCTGTGTGATGTCTTCTGTGTTTAACAGGAGCCCATTTCCAGCTGGGAGCTGGGTATTCTTGAGCGGGATTACCACTGCACAGACCTGAGTTGTGGCAACACTCAACATAGCGCCCTGTTCCTTTAGGAAAGTAAGCTCATTGACTGCCTTCTACTGACCTGGTGTTCCGCCCCCACCGCCCTTAGGGATGGATACATTTACTATCTCAGCAAGTGGTTTTTTGTAAGGAGGGTAGGGAAGAGTACAAGTGTGTGATGTGTACATGTCTGTATGGAAGCCTGAGGATAACCTTTAGTTTTCCTCAGGAGTCAGCTACCATGTCTTTTGTTTGTTTTGAGATGATCTCACTATGTAGCTCTAGCTGTTCTGGAACTTGATACATAGATTAGGCGCCTCTTTAACTCAGTAACATCTCCCTCTGTCTGTCAGAAGTTGCGCCTGGGCCATGCACTTGCAGTCTGAGTAGGTGTACAGGGAGGCACCTACGATGAAGTCCCTAAGTGATGGCTGAGCTGGTGGTACCAGCACACTGGGCTCTACCTTGTTTTGTTTTTTAAATAAGTCTTTTCACTGGGACCTGTTCTCACTAAGCTAGGTGGCTGGCCAGTGAGCTCAGGGGATCCTCCTGCCTGCCTCCCCAGTGCAGGGATTACAAATGTGTCCCATGACACACAGCTTCTGTCTTCTGCAGATTGAACTCAGGATCTCATGCTTGTGTGGCAAGTACTTCACAGAATGAACAATCTCTCTCTAATCTTGCTAATGTGATGTTTTAATAGCTGAAACTCAGCTGTCACCTTCTCTGAGGTCCTTTGGCATTCTATATTTGGTATGTTGGTGCTTTTAGTTCCCAGGAGCAGGGTTTTGGGTAGAAACACCACCCTGTTGTGTTCCTGCCAGGCTATGTGTGTTCTGCGGTATGTATCAACGACATGCTATTCTTTTTTCACTTGACTCACTTGTGGGGTGAGGCTCTAGCATGTGGAATGACAAAAATCCCCATAATACTCCTGGACATGCTGAGCCCATAGCTTCCCGTGCCTTCTCTTCCCTGAACATGTATGTTCCTCTGTCTCCAGTCCCATCACTCCCTTATGTTTTTGTCAAGACTCAGTTCACTGTTAAGAATTGTAAGTGAACAAACTCACCTCCCCCTTCATTTCGTTTTGTCCCTGTTCGAAGTTCTGTCCCATTCATCATCCTAAGCAGTGTCTTCCTAGATGACTCTCATGGTTCAGCCTGGAGTCAGAATTAGCTGTTTTACCACCGTGTTAAGTTCTTAGGGAACTGAGAACTGATGCTTAATTCCTGTATCCCACTGGGAGGCACCTACCTTGAAGTGATGGCTGAGTCTGTGGCTGGAGATAGCCTTCAATCAATTTCAGATTGTGTGACATTTCAGTACAGGAGATTCTTGGGAGACTGGGGGCGAGAGGGGGCATTCATGAGGAGGAAGTCCCGGGTCTAAGTATTCTTCCTGGGTGTCCTTAGTCCATTTTAGGCATTGTCCCTGCAGAACAACTGTTTTCTCCCTTGTTTACTCATGCTCCACCCTACCAGGAGTGAGTGGTCAGTTTCCCTCCTTGCTCCCTGCATCCAGTCTTCAGAAAAGTCCCATCATGCTACCTCGACAGACTTGACACCACACTTCTCCCACCTCCGTTTCATGGGTCTTCGCCTCTTTAGTCTTTCTGAAACAGCCCTGGCCTTGTATCCCACACATGTGCTGTCTCACTACCCCCATAGACTGTAAGCCTTTTGTGGCAGGATCTGTCCGTCACCTTTGTTAACCCCCAATGGTGTCCACCAATAAATATTCTTGACTAAACAGATGTGTTCTTAGTTCTCAATATGAAGTTCTAGTGAAATGCTTCCCAGGTTATACACAGATTTTTCTCTGGGGATAACTAGGATTTCAGAAGTTCTCACAGATTGGTAAGTAACAATTAAATTTCAGAAAACTTTAATTTTTTTCCATTTGAATCGGCATGGATATGTGTCTATGGATGGCTCAATAAATATACTTTTATATACAGCACAGAAATTTTACATTCCATCTTAAAATTGCAGAAATAGATTTTCTTACAAGCCAAAAAACAAAACAAACCTAAAACAAAAACAACAAAAACAAACCCTGCCATAACTTTAATGACTTCATGCAAAAAAGGGAAGGGGCCAGAGGGAATTGCCTGTTCAAGGTTGAATGTCCAATGAGGAGTAAAAATAGTACATTAAGGAGGCGGTTGCTTAGCACGCTGCTTAAGGTGGGAGCCAGACAGATCCTTAACTGCAGCTTTAAGGCCATACCTAGTTTATACATATGTACAAAGAAGTTTCCATAGAAAACACATGGTCACATTCTCTTCTGGGAAAGGATGAGGAACTTCCGTGAGAGTAATTCAGACCCAATTTTCCATGTCAATTAATCAGAGATGCCCCCGGACTGCTACTCAGCAATCTGCTTTGGCTATGTGGCTTGTGGAAACCTCCCATTGTGGGTGATCAAGTGCTTTATAGCTCAGCTCACAGTGCCCAGCTAAGCACAACTCTTGCATCTGAGACAATTGTAGGCATCTTACCTCTAATGGACCCCACATCCACACTGGCACTCTGATAGGAAGGATGGCAGGAAGCCCTTCTCTTCTGTTCTAGGGTTGAAATGCCTGGAGAGTCAGTCTTGACTTCCAGGGAGCATTTCCTACCTGTTTTAAGGGGCTGACTTTTCTCCCTTGTGCACTGTGACACATTTCAGGTGAAAGCTAACTTTTCTGTGGAGGAAAAAGGAAATAAGTTACCCAGAGAGTCATCTGGAGTTTGTTCTGTCTAAAATCCAAGTCAGGGAATTTTTAAGACAGGTTAGTTCTGTGCTAATACCTAGATGAAGGAACTAGAGATGACAAGGGCAGTCCTTTGGAAGTGACTCTCAAGTCCACAGGAAGCCATTTGCTTTGGCAAGGTTTGGGTGAGACTGAAGTGGTACATTGTTTCCATTGGCAGGAGCTAGCTCATCTCTAATTAGCTGCATCTGAAGTCCAGATGAGAACTGAGTCTGAGATAGATGAGGCAAATTCAGCACCGCCCCACTGTTGTAACCAGCCAGGCATGTAGAAACCAGTCCAATCTGGCCTGGAAGCCCCGTGGCTGGTATGAAGAGTCACTTCATTTTTATTAGTGCCACCCTTTGAGTAGCACTCTTAATCCTTGTGTGGATTCCAACAGCGCTGTCACAAGGTTGATCCTGCCAATACAAGAGGGCTGCACAGTAGTCCTGACCACTTGGTTTTTGAGACAGGCTCCTGCTATGTAGCTCAGGCAGGACTGGAACTACTGTGTAGCTCAGGGTTAGATCTTTCTGCTTCTGCCTCCGTGTGCTGGGATTAGTCATGCACCACCACAACTGGCTGTCTTGGTCACTTTGTGATTCACTTTGTTTACCCCAAGTGTATGGCAACTGAAGACATGTATTTTGTTCAGTTTTCAAGGTTTTTTTTTTTTTTGCCACTGACGCCCTTCCTATGTCAATCTTTTCTAAGCAGAACTCTGGTTGCTTAAATAAAAAAGAAATGAGGACGGTGCTCCACACCCCTCTGTTGTGTGGAGTATGCATGTCAGCATGCAGTAGGCATTGGGTGTGTGTCCAGTGTGAGAAAGAAGCAAGATGAGCCCCTTTGGAGTCCAGCTTATTCATCTCATTTTAACTTGTTAGTGGTGATGCTGCTATCATGGATCCAGCACTGGAGGATGGAATCATTATGACATGAAACTGGATGAGTCTGAAATGTTGTGCAATTCATCTCATCCAACACTTGAGCTTCATTGATGCCATTCTGGCTAAACTGGCGTGCTGAGAGCACACTGTCTTTTACTATGAGGTAGAAAAGCATCTGACACGGAGAACATTAACCTGCCCAACTGCTTATGTGATAGCCCCCTCCTTCAAGCTAAGACTTGAGGAACGATCTTTTATGGAGGGAGATGCTATGAATCATTCCCCCAAAATACTCCTCCTAAATTTGGGAAGGAAAGCAAAGTCCTGAGAAAGAGCATCTGCCCCTTTGCACATTTGTACCTGTGACGGCGTGACAGCATCTGGTTCCTGTCATCTGTATTTTCTCCTCCATACCATTTTTTCCTTGTTTGATTTTGTGCCGGGAGTAAATCTTCTCCAGGTTGGGAAGTGATTTTTAGATGCAGCTAAGAATGAAAACAACATGCTGGACATCTTCTCCTCCAGGTCTGCCCTTCAGCTAGATCAACAACAAGGTGATGTCTGGACCACAGACCCTGCTCTAGAAACACCTTCAGTATACTGCCGAGGACGTGGTTCGGTGGTAGAGCACTAGCCTTGCATGCCGCGGGCTGTGGGTTCAGTCCCCAGCACCGCAGGGGTGGGGGAAACAGACAGAAGCACAGGTCTCCACTGTCTGCAGCCTGTGCTCCATAGTTAATCACCACAGGGAGAACTTGTCAGGGTTCATGGTGAGCCCCTTGCAGAGCCACAGCTTTCAGGGCCGGGGAGACGGCTCAGTCAGTAAAGTGCTTGCTGCACAAGTACGAGGCCCCGAGTTAGGCTCCCCAGACTCACATAGAAGCTGGGTACAGCATCTTCTCACCTCTAGACACACACACATGTACACGCACGCACACCCACACCCACACCAGACACACCACAAAATAAAGAAGTCTGCCTCCCACGCTCCAGAGCCTTCTTAGCATTTAATGGGATGAACTGATGACCTTTAAGATGTGAGTTCCCAGTGACTATGTGCTTGCAAGATCAACAAAACGTGGGTTCTTCCATGTGAAGTGCAGAAGAAGCTGAGCAGGCTGGGGGCATCACAGGGGGCAGAAAGGAGCTGGAGTCTTCCTGCCAAACTGCCTAATGAGACCCACTCTGCAACATCTCCTGTGAGCATGCCTGATAGGCACAGACCCGCCTCGTCTAACCTGCCTCCAACCGTTACCCTTCACCTGAAAGTGCAAGCAATGCTTACATGAGGCCCCCTCATTTTACTTCTGGATCTCAGCACTTGCTCAGTCTGCCTGAGACTGCCCCATCCCATCCACCAGAACTTCACCTGGTCCTTACATGACCGCTCAGCTGGGTTTCCAATACAACCCAGTCTACTTCTTTCTCTGTGGCATCCTCCATCTCCCATGCTAGTGACTGTTTTGGAACTTGAATCATTGCCTCCTGCGGGGGTTTTATTTGGATGCTCAGCTTTCATAGTATGCCACTTGCAGACTTAACATAGCACATGTAGGGAGGGTAAAAAGAAAGTCATAGAAAAATTAGGAATACTCCCATTTATGTCACATGTGGTTATAGTCTAGTCTTGGCTGTGACACATGATTCTATTGGAGAGTTATCTGGCCCAGTTAGGTTAAGCTGTTTTGTCCAGACTGAAACATTCAAAGCCAAGTATGTAGTTTTAATTTGGAGGCCCACTGAGTCAGGCTTGGCCTTCACTAGCATCTACTCAGAGTGAAACTGTGCTCACTACACAAATGATCTGGGAGTCCTTGGGAAAGAAGCTATCATGTCTCTGGGTACGTTACTGTGACAGTTAATGAGCCTGTTTTGCCAACACCCTGGATTTGGGGTGGAGCTGCAGCTGAGGCCAGGTGAGTCCCAGGAAATAGCAAGAGAGACCTTGAACAGAGAAATGGATTGCCTGGGGTGTTGTGCACATTAAGTTGTCTAGTGGACAGTTAGACCAGGAACAAGGTGGCCCAGAGACAAGCATCTTTTTAGTGCTCAGGGATTGTTTTGCAGTGAGAGGGGAATTGACTATTTACTTGTCTTCGCTTGCAATTCCATTTCTCCCTTTACTTCTATATCTGGGATGAGAGTGAAGAGCTATGGGACACCCTTCTTTTCTGGAACACTGGTCAGTATTTCCATTTCAGTTGGCTCTTATCTGAAGACAGTTCCTATTTACTCTAACACCTGCTAGGGAGAAGTAGCTGGGCAGCTGTCCTATAGGGTTAAACCATTTAACTTCTTAGCAAGTAGATGAGGCCACCAAATAGTAAATGGTTGTCATAGACAGTCTTTTAAATGTGGGTTCAAATGTGCTATTCTCCAGAACCCTGGAGCATCCCAAGGGTGAGATGCTGTCAGCACCATCGCTGCATCTCTTCCTGAATTATTCGCAATCACACCAGGCCTCAACCTGCTCGATTTCAAGGTCAGCCCTTAGAAGTGATGCTCATATTTGGCTCCTATGCCTTTCATTGTTGTTCACCTTGAGTGGATGTTAAAGGAATTCTAGACTTTGGAGAGTCTTGGGAAAGGTCTTGTCCTAACTATTCACTCCAGCCAAGTTTAAACCTTCCTGGCACAAGGATTCCCCTCTCTGCAGGATCACAAGTAAGGGATGTTGTCCATATCCTCCAAACACCACTGCTTCTCATCTGCCCTCTAGCTCACTCCTTTTTGTCTTTAAACTTCAGTAGCCACTCAGTGGCTCCATCTCAGCTAAGCCCCCTGTGTAGCAAGCTGTGTTAGTAGATTATTAATCTTGAAGATGGGTTAGTTTATTTATGTTGTTTATGACTACATTTTGAGATAAGGAAGAATGAGCATTGGCTTTTTTGTTTGCTTGTTTCTCAAGACAGGGTTACTCTGTGTAGCCCTTGCTGTCTTGGAACTCGATTTGTACACCAGGTTGACCTTTCTCACAGAGATCTGCCTGCTTCTGACTCCTTTAATATCCACTCAAGATACAATACCCACAGCATACAGTAAGAGTCATGGGAGCCAAAGACAACTAGCCCAAGACGAAGCCTGGCAGAGAGTATCCGGGCCTGGTCCCTCAGAGGATGAGGAACTGGGTTCTGAGACTGGCTTGTGTCCATTTGCCTCTTCCCTGCCCATGGTTTGTGATCTTCAACAAATTATTTCACCTTCTGTGATCTTGAAGGAACCCTAACTACCCAAATTGAGCATAAAATTGAGAAAAAGAAATGATCAATGATTTTGTTACTAAAAGTAGAATATGGATGAGATATGGCACTAAATGAATCTGATAGCCGCTGATCAGAGAGGTAACATGCTAGTTACCTCTCAAATGTTGGTGAATACCATCTTTAACTAGATTAAAGATCCAAGATCTTGATCAAAAGCCAATGTTCAGCAGTGGCACACTGCCCACTGGAGCCTTTGCAAGGAAGGGTCTTGCAGGTGCTAGGAAGTTCCAGCAGAGGGCAGAGTGGAGCCGTTTACATCTGAAACCAGTGGGATCCTGTAAACTAACAGGGTGAGAAGCAGTTGGTGTCCCCACCTAGCTCCTAGAATAAGCTGCATCTTTGGAGGTAAGTTGAAGTCATCTACTCCTACATGCCCCTTTCCAAGTCTCACATTATGCACGAGCACCAGTCTGTACTGAAGAAGAGCTTCAAAACCAGGACATTCTCTACATGGACATCAGATCTCCATATACTGAACCATCCATTTTACACCTGCAATCCCAGAGCAATCCCCTTGTGCTCAGCCTAAAGGGGAAATTAGGAAAGCCTTGCCCTGTTTATTGAGGGTTGCCTGAAAGCTTTGGCGTAAATTGTTTAGTTCAAATACCTTCCTTCCTTCCTTCCTTCCTTCCTTCCTTCCTTCCTTCCTTCCTTTGTTCCCTCCTTCCTCCTTCCCCCTTCCTTCTTCCCTCCCTCCCTCCCTTCCCTTCCCCCCTTCTTTCCTTCCCCCCCTCTCTTTTTCCTCTCTTTTTGGGTTTTGATTAAAAGTGGTACAAGAGGAAAAGCAAATTTGAAAAATTTCTGGAGAAGCAATAAGAATTGTGTGGGTCAGTGCACCTATGCATAAGTCTAAATGTTTGCACGGAGCCCTGAGAAATCAAAACAATGGTAAGCTCTGAGTTGTGCAAAGTTGCTCAGTATAAGCACAGATTCACAGCAGGTAGAGCCAGGGAGAGTTCAGACACTATCCCAGTCTCTCCACGACACATTCAGAGAGACCAAAGCTTGCACAGTTACCCAAGATCATTCTGTGTATTAACCATGGGCTTGATTCAGGTTGTTTCTCTGCTTGTGCTCTGAGGGACTTCAGTGATGTTCCCCAGTATGTCTCAAAGATGTGAGTCCATTGCTGGGTTTTTCACCTGGGCCAGGCAGCTCACAATGGACCATTCCAAAATGATGACATGGGGACCTAGGAACCCAGTTGAGATTGGGCAAATGGTCCATTGATTTCTCAGGGTGATTCTAGATGCTTCCTGTGGAGATAATTTTGGAAGGTGCTGGGTGGTTTTGTATGAGCGAGAGGTATGACTCAGGACAGATTCTGATGCCTCCTGTGGTCGCCCCAATTCACCTGGACTCGAGTCAGTCTAAGTACAGTAAGGAGAGGGTTCCATTGGTTATTTTCTGTTACAAATGTTTATTACCTAAATGAAGAGAATAAAGTGCCATTAGAAAGGACTGATTGCAGCCTCTCCTAAGATGCGCAGCCCTGGAGCGACAAGATTCCTCCTCTTGTGCCTAGGAAGGGGCTCACAGCTCCACAAATTGGCATCTTCATCCTGGATGCTGACTACTTAAGACCATCTTCACTTTTCCTGCTTTGAACATTTTTATGGTGGGTAAAGACAAATGTCAGGTGATAGTCACCCACTTATGGGACACCTGTTGCCCAAGATTTCCCGTAAACAAAGGTCCTGTGCCCCCTCACCTATAGCCGAAATGTGGATTGTCTTTTTAGATTGTACAGTCCAAGAGGAGGGAAGGCACAGGCTGGCTGACCTTGGACAGGGCAGTCTACCAGCAGCTCAGCCTCATCCTGCTGGCTGCATAGAACATCTTCTTTACTCAGAGCTCTTGGTCTTTGTCTTGGCTTCATCTATTTTAGACTCATCTAGGCTTTAGCTTCCATGCCACAGGGCAGGGAGGAAAAGTCTCCAGGAAAGTGCATGGCAAGAGACAGGTATGTATCATCTCTTCATCCCATTCCTCCATCCTGCCCCTGAGCTCCCTAGCTCGGTACAAGGATACAAACAAAGCTCCCAAATGATTGTCAGTGATGGATTCCCATCCTACAGTGAAGTTCTAGGACAGAAGTGCCACTCCTGTGTCCTGTCCATGGGATGCAGGACTGCTGGGACAGGCTTCATGCTGTGGTTCTGTGCATATCCCTATCTGTCAGCAGGGCTTGCTCTTCCAACTCAGCTCATTGCAGTCCCTGTCGCTTTCCTTGGAGTGCCCTGGCAGTCTGGGATCATTCTGGCACTTCAGAATTAGAAGGAAAGAGAAAAATTTGTCTAACTTTCCTACATGTTAAAGCTGTGCAAAGCATCGTAAAAAAAAAAGACTTACAAAAATATAATGGGGTCATGCCCCCCAAACTTTCCATGTTATGATATATGAAATGTCAAAATATAATGAGTGGATTTTCTAAATATCACTGTCTCTTCCCACCCTCATATAGAATGTGCAACAGCAGCATTGGCGACTTCCCTTTCACATCTTCAAACTGGATTCCTACCTGGCTTTTGGGACCTGTTTCAGCCAGGCCCGCCTTCCCATAATGCACCTACTTGCAGCTCCAAAGAGACTCTCCAAAAAAATAGACATTTGGAAAACAGTTCATGGGTTTGCACTCAGTCTCTCCCCATAATATTTCTTGAGATTATTACTTTTCTAAACAATAAAAAAGATTGCATATTGGTAATACAACGAGAAGACCATGACGGCCATAGAGCTGGCGCTGAGTTTGGCTGGCACTGAAGCGCAGAAGCAAGAGGAGCAAGCTTGGCGCCCTGTGGGGGTTCCTGGATTCTCCGTCCTCAGGCTTCTGCAAATAGTCATTCTCCTCAGTCACTTCCTGGTGTGGTCCACCTTTATCCATCTCCACGGCCCACACCCGCGTCTCGTGACCCTCTCGAAGCAGAGGCGGAACGGCTTTTTGGCATGTGTCGACGGGGGTCAGTTCGAAGATAGACGTGGCATTTGTAAGGGTGTGATGTGGGCACATACCATAGCGAGCTTATTAGTGACCATTTCTACTCTGGGAAAAGTTGTCCATCACATAGGGGACTTTAAAAGTTTAAGCAGTTACTAGGCTGATTTAAGAGACGCATCTTTTGTTCTCGTGGGTTTTGCATTAATGGGAAGCATGGTTATATGTCATATATTACACTGCTTTCCTGCTCTGGGGCAGGTGGCACTGACCTCCAAACAGGAGACCCCCCCAATCAAACCAATGGACTTGAATTTTGAAAGCTGTGATTTCCCCAATCCCCCTCCCTGGCCCCACCCCATCCCTCATGGTCCTCAGTTGCTGTATTCGAAAAGGCCCCCCACCACTTCATGCCCTTGGGGGCTAGATGAATATTGCCATACCCTGGAAGTATCCACCCCTGTGGTTCCTATTGCACTTGGTGGAGGGAGATGGGTGTGCGCTCTCCCTTTCTCCCTCCTCACCTGACTCCCAGCCTCTGTGCTCCTCCCACCACCCTCTCCCAACCCCCCACCCCACCCCTGAGCCTTCACTTGTTGTGGACGTCCTCTCTCCGCACGATCTTGTAGATGATCCAGTAGAACATGTTGAAGATTAGAAAGGCCATGGGGAAACCGATGCGTGATATCTTGTCAATCTTCTTGGCTCTCTGGATGAAGAGTTTCCGCATCTCCTCTGGGGACTTGGATGGTGCAGGAGCGGGGTTGGTGGTATTGTTGTTGTTGGCACCCTTGACAGAGATGCCATCCTTGGCCTGCAGACAGGCTGGGCCCATCCCATAGGCAGAGAAGTTGAAGCGGCCTTCTCCGCCCTCATCATCCTGAAACAGATTCAGCATGGGGCTCTACTTAAAATAAGACAAGGACTGGGCACCCTCCCTGCAAGGCACTCCCCTTGGGGGCCAGGCCATGCCACCTGATACTCCCCATCTTTCAGGCTTTGTGTCCCCAGTTGCTTTGCTGGAGGCAGTCTGGCTGGCTGGGGAGTTCAGCCTTATAGAGGGGCGCCACTCACATGCTGAAACAGATGCAAGCCAGGGGATGGGAATGGGTACAGATTCTGAGACCCGAGTTCACACCAGGCAGTGGGTCTTTGTCTTTTACTAACTGTGACCTCAGACTGGTAACTTCCTTCCTAGTGTCTGAGAATTATTTCAGGTTTTCTTTTCAAGGCTTTTTAACCTTTGGAGGCTTCACTGAACGGGAGACTCCGGGCTGGCCTGGGATTTGGTCAGAGTTGAGGAGGGTGGTTTGGAGACATCCCCTGCTTTGCCTCTGTTGCATCCTTCCCATCTTCCCCACCCTGTGATGGCCCAGGAAGGAGCAGAAAGCTCCTGGCTTTCCCATGTTATGAGTCAGGGAAGCCACGACTTCTTCCTGCCTTATGTTCCCACACCATCACCTCCAACAGTCTTCCATTTTCCATAAGCTTGTCAAAGGTTCTTTGTCATTTGGCTCCAACTTACCTTCCCAGGCCCACCCGCTTCCCATGAGATCCCCACTGCCGGTGGCTTTGTTGGCCTTCTCCTCCTTTGTAAAATGCTTGACCACTGATCTTAGAGGTTCCTTCCTCTCCCAGTCAGTTCCACCTTTTCCTGGTTAGTTCCCTTCCCTGCAGTTCCACAACAGGACCAAAGGCCAAGGTATTTGTTTTGTTTTCTGTGGGTATGTGTGTTCACACATGTGTGGGTCATGTGTGCATGCATGTGTACATGTGAAGGCCATAGGTTGATGTCAGGTATCGTTCTGGATCCTTGTCCTTATTTATTGAGACAAGGTCTCTCAGTTGCAACCCAGAGCTCACCAGTTTAGCTAGTCCAGCTGGCCAGTTTGCTCCAGGGATCCTCTGTGTCTGCCTCCCTTGAGCTGAGATGGTGAGCAGGTTACCCCACTTGCCTGGCACTTCTGGTTCTCATACTTAAACCAGAAGCATGTTAGCGGCTTCTCCCCAGGCCAAGGCCAGCTGAGCTTCCAATCCAGTGTGTGGTGCTGGCAAGGCTCACCAGTTCATATTGCCCTCCTGGACACCAAGAGTTTCCAGGAGAGGGGCCGGGCGTTGGTGGTACACACCTTTAATCTCAGCACTAGGGAGGCAGAGGCAGGCGGATCTCTGTGAGTTTGAGGCCAGCCTGGTCTACAGAGCGAGTTCCAGGACAGCTTCCATAACAATACAGAGAAACCCTGTCTCGAAAAACCAAAAAAAAAAAAAAAAGGAAAAAAAAAAAAAAAAAGGAAAAAAAAGGAAAAAGAAAAAGACAGTCTCTTGAAGACAGTCTGGTCCCTCGTTATGTGACCCACATTCTCTCTCTTCCACAGTGAATGCTGGGCCAGATGCATTTACTCCCTGATCATTTCCTGGTCATTAGCCATGAGCCTGATGCAGGATGCAACCCCACTTAGAAAAACCAAAGAAATGAAAAGAAGAAAACATTTAAATGGAGGTTGGGTGGGCTGGGGAGCTGGCTCAGACATTAGGAGTGCTTGCTAATCTTGTAGAGGACCCCTGCCTGATTCTCAGCACTCACTATGGCATCCCATAACAGTCTGTAACTCCAGGTCCAGGATACCCGACACTCTCTCCCAGCCTCTGAAGGTACTATATGCACTTGGAACACAAACATACATGGAGGAAAAACACCCATGCTCATAAAATGAATAAGTCTAAGAAAAAAATTAAGGAGGCTGGAACTGGTGGAGATCTCATTTATTGAGGTCATAAGTTTGTTTTGTTATTTTTTTTTTGTGCTTCTGCACCAAAAGAACATGTCTGTGTGCTCAGTGTTTGTTTCATGCTGGTTTTTGTGAGCTGGGCATTGCTGGTTTGGGAGAGAGGGCCTCCTATACTCTTCAAGCTGACCTCCATCTGTGTGGCTCAGCTGGTCTTGAACTCCAAAGGTTGGGATGACAGGCTTCGCTGTAGCTTCTTTCACAGAGCTTATTCTCTAACCAGTGGTTCTCAACCTCCCTTATTTCACACAGTCTCTCATGTTGTAGGGACCCCAACCATAAAATTGTTTTGTTGCTACTTCATAACTGTAATTTATGTTATAAATCATAGTGTAAATATCTGTGTTTTCCAGTGATCTTAGGCAACGCCTGAACAAAGGTCGTTCGACCCCCACCCACCCCCACAAAAGGGGTCAGGACATACAGGTCACTCAAATGGGAGAGGCAATGTCAGAAAAGAAATTAGGACCCAGTGGGATCAGAGCTTTTCCTCAGGGGCACTCTGCATGACAGCTAGCCTGTCTTTGGCAACTCAAGGGGCAGCTAAGTGGGAGGCCGGGCTCCCAATTTGGAAGCAGGGGTATAGCAGAGAGAGTAACTTGAATTGAACCAAAGAGGAAAAGCTCAGCATTTGCAAGTGTGAGGAAATGTTTCAGGGTGACTGAAGAATAATGTCACACAGAAAATGGCATGAAGTGAGATGGAACAGGTGGACACACTCCAGGGAATCCGGGGCCTTCTTTAACATCGGAAGAATGTAACTTTCCTGAGGTCAGTGGCAGCCTGCTAGAAAGTTCTTAGTAGAATAAGGCATAGTCACACACACCCACTATGCCAGCATTTGGTATATTGAGGCAGGAGGATAGAGATGTCCAGGTCAGCCAGATGGTGGCTCGCCCTAGGGTAACAGAGGCATGGGAAGAGCAGAGTATTGGATTCTGTGTTGCATGTCTTATTCTCATTGGCACTGTCTTTCGGGGAACAAGCAAAACAGAATTCCTCTCCTGGAAACTCTTTTTGTTTGTTTGTTTTCAAGACAGGGTTTCTCTGTATTGTTATGGAGGCTGTCCTGGAACTCGCTCTGTAGACCAGGCTGGCCTCAAACTCACAGAAACCCGCTTGCCTCTGCTTCCCGAGTGCTGGGATTAAAGGCGTGCACCACCAACGCCCAGCTTACAAGAGACTGTCTTAAAAAGCAAATAAATAAAAGGAAAAGCTTGGAATGACCCTTTGGTAAATGTACATAGTTAACCATCTCTAGACAAACAGGAGCACCATAACAGCTTGGATCCCCACTGTATATAATGGGCTCTACTGGTATGGGAAACACCATATTATCTTTCCTAGACCTTCTTGGAAGTTATGTTCCACCTTCCTTATTTGTTACATATTAGCAGGGAAACAGGTTTGGGCCCATTTAGTTAAGACAGTGGCCCCTAGTAACTTGGAGAAAGGAAATGTCTAAGGAATGATTAGAAAAGGCTTGCTATTCTGACTATAACCAGCAGGTGACAGGACAAGCATATTCATCTGCCTGGAGATGCTTGGGCATGGAGCTAGAAATTGGGACATAGGCTATGGAATCCACCGGAGGGATCTGAGCTCCTGCTGAGCCTGGGCCCCACAGAAGCTTCCTTCTAATGAGGGGGGCCAGGGTCTTGAAAGACTGGATGCTTTCTGCCCAGCAAATGAGGCAACATTTGAAAACATGTAAAAACAGTGGGAGCTGGGTAGCCTTGCCCAGATCATTGGCCGAGAGAAATCCAGGCCAGAGCTAGTTCCTTGCCACTCATTCTCAAGAGCTCTAAAACCTACTTAGGCTTCTTACTCAAGGGAGGTTTCTGCAGCCCAAATCTGCAGGACTCCAGTTAAGTCACACCCAGATGCCAATGGGAGGTCTTCCATAGTGTGGGCCCAGGTAACCAACCTTGACTTCTGATGCTTGGACTGAGTGCAGAGTCCTTGTGAATGAGGTCACGTTAATTCAGCTGTGCACAGGGGGAGTGATGAAGCGAGCGGGGATTGTGGGGAGCTGAAGAATGTGTGCTCTGCCTAAGGGCAGCTCCCTTGTGCAGACACATATGGGGCAGCGGTGGTTACTCAGTTTGGTTGAAAGAGGCAAGTGTTTCAGGTGATGTCAGGAGTTCATGGCTCTGTATAATTTTATTTTTTAAAAATATTTATTTTAGGGGGCTGGCGAGATAACTCAGCAGCTTAAGAGCACTGACTGCTCTTCCAGAGGACTGGGTTCAATTCCCAGCACCCACATGACAGCTAGCAACTGTCTGTAACTCCAAGATCTGACACCCTCACACAGACATACATGCAGGAAGAACACTAATGCACATAAATAAAAATAAATACTTTTTTAAGAATAATTTTATGCGTATGTGTGAATGTCTGCAACTATGAGTGTACCTGGCATCCTCTGAGGTCAGAAGAAGGCATTGAATCTCCTGGGGTTACCAGTGGTTGTAAACTAACATGTGAGTCCTCAGAACTGAACCTGTCCTCTGCAGGAACAGCCTGTGTTCCTTTTTCTTATTCTTTCTTTCATTTTTTTTCTTTGAGGGAGGGTTACTCTGTTTCCTGGCTGTCCTGGAACTCGCTCTGTAGATCAGGCTTGCCTCGAACTCACCGATATCTGCCTACTTCTGCTTCCCAAGTGCTGTTAAAGGTGTGGACCATCGCCATCCAGCTCAACCTGTGTTCTTAACCACTGGGCCAACTGCCCAGCCCCTCTCTCCCTTTATCTCTTCCTCCCCCATTCTATTTCTCCCCTCTCTCCTTTCTTCCCTCCCTTTCTCTCTTCCATTCCATTCCCTTCCTTTCTTTTCTTTTTTTTTAAAGATTTATTTATTTATTATGTATACAGTGTTCTGCCTGCATGTGTGCCTGCAGACCAGAAGAGGGCACTAGATCTCATTACAGATGTTGTGAGCTACCATACGGTTGCTGGGAATTGAACTCAGGACCTCTGGAAGAGCAGCCAGTGCTCTTAACCTCTGAGCCATCTCTCCAGCACCCCCTTCCTTTCTTTGTAGCCAAGGCTAGCCTTGAAATGTCTACATCAACAATGATTTCATTGGGATTACTTAGAGAGCTGGGTGAAGGGTTATTCACAGGAACACGGGGGACTCTGAAGCAGCCACAGTGGGAAATCTTCGCCCTAGATGCTTTCCCTTCTTCAGTTAACCTTCCCTATCTTTTAACCTTGAGAACTTTTTTGGTCCTCCTACTTCAGTTTTCAGAATGCTGGGATTACAGCAGAAATCACTGCACCTCATTCTATTTTATTTTTTGAGGAAAGGTCTCATGTAGTTCAAGCTTCCCTTGAACTTGATATAGCAAAGGATGACTTTGAATTTCTGACTCTCCTACCTCGACCTCTAAGTGCTGGATTTATGCAGTGTGAGGCATGGAACTGGGGGCTTCACAAATGCTAGGTGAGCACTCTACCAACAGAGTTACATCCCTAGCCCTGGTTTTCTGTTTGTTTGATTGTTCTTGAGACAGACTCTCATGCTGTAGTCCAGGCTGACCTTGAACTCCCAATCCTCCTGCCTCTACCCACCACACCCGAGTACTGGATTCCTAAATACCTGCAGTACCTACAGATCATTACTATTTCAAAGGAGGGACCTGGTGCCTAAAGGGCAGCTGGAAAGGCTAAACCTCTAGGAGGCTCCATTTAGCCTGCCACGTCTTTTCCAGTACAGACATAGAAAGACTGTGCTGTCTGTACCCCTGCTCCCCACCCAAAATTGTCCTGTGATAGATTGCCAACAGTTAGTTGAGTCATGTTGCCAATGTTTAAATACCATACTAATGGGAGCTTTGTGTGTGTGTGTGTGTGTGTGTGTGTGTGTGTGTGTGTGTGTGCGTGATAGTTTTATTCCTTGACACGGATATGACAGGGACAAAGTTTAAAGCTTCCTTGGAATCTCTGACTTCATCCTTGTCACAGTCTCCCACCAAGCCAGTCTTTGTAGATGATGAAGACTTTGAATCTAGAGACAGGCCAGCTTGAGGTCAAATTGCAGAAAACAAGCAGCAGGCCTGTCTCAGCCTGCCCTGTCTGCAGGATGAAGCTGGTTATCATCATGACTATGGGCACTTGCTTCCTGGTGTCACATGATAGTCCCTACAACACTGCTGCTGTGGTTAAAGAGAGGATCCATGTGACCAACTAGGTCATTATTCACAAGGGGAAAAGTCAAGCTTTTCAGGATTCGATCTCTGACTCTCAGTTGCCTTACCCATGGGGACAGCCCAATGAAGCAAGGGTCACCGGACTGCTCAGAGTGCTTCCTCTGTCCACCAGCTGCCCCTCTCTAGGCCATGCCTCAGAGGCCTACCTTGTGATGTCGCCGCTTCCTCCTAAATCGCAGCAGTTCCTTGTGCTGTCGAGACACGAAGTTCACGGCCGCGTATTCCAGCAGGGCGGAGAACACGAAGAGCAGACAAACGGCCATCCAAATGTCAATAGCTTTCACATAGGACACCTGGAGTGAGGGTGGGAAAGAGCATGGGGAGGTGAGGGGAGAGGAAAATGTTCTGAAATATTGCATGGAAGGTTCTAGAAATAAGCAGCTTGTAAGTTTTAAGCCATACACTGTTCTGAACAGTGTGACGAACACTTGCATCATACTTCTCCATCCTGCTGATAACAGAAGCCATCCTCTCCTGGGCATATCCATTCTGTGTGCACTACCCTTCTCCCAGTCATGGAGTAGCCATGCACATTATCAGACTGACTGTGGCTGAAGCCCAATTTACTTGATAATAGCTCAAAGTGCAAAAACAGTGATGTTGGGAATTTGGATATAACAAGGAAAGCTACAAAACGTTTCTTTTAAGCAAAACTGTGAAGTTCCCAATTTAATATGAAAAGAAAAATATCCTTTGCTGATATTGCTAAGATCTATATCATCAACAAATTTTTAAAGAGAATTTTAGCTTTTTTATTTTACATGTTTATTTTTTACCTTATATGTTTATGTAAAGGTGTTTGGTCTGTGTGTATGTCTGTGCACCACATGCTTGCAGTTCCCGAAGAGGCCAGAGAGGGCACAGGACCCCTTGGAACTGCAGTTACAGATAGTTAATGAGCTGCCTTTGGGTGTTGGGAATTGAACGGGTTCTCTAGAAAAGCAGCCAGTGCCCTTAACTGCTGAGACATCTCTCCAGACTAAGAATGCATTAAAATTATCTTTAATTACATGTCTCTGGGGGGGGGGCTGGAGAGATGGCTCAGAGGTTAAGAGCACTGACTGCTCTTCCAGAGGTCTTGAGTTCAGTTCCCAGCAACCACATGGTGGCTCACAACCATCTACAATTTAATCTGGTGTATATGTAATAAATAAATCTTTAAAAAATTACATGTCTCTGTGTGTGTTTGCATGTGAGTGCAGTATCTGCAGAGACCAGATGAGGTCATCAGATCCTCTGGAGCTGAAGTTAGATAGTTGTGAGCTGCCCAGTGTGGTGCTGGGAATCGAACTTGGTCTTCTGCAAGAGCAGCAGGCACCCTTAACCCCCTGAGCCATCTGTCCAGCTCCATAGCAGAACATATTTGTCTACAAAATTATGGTACGTATAGGGAAAGATTATGGCATATAGGGCTTGGTACCACTGCCACTTTATGCAATTGCCAAAAGGAGAGCAGAGTGGTGTGTCCCTAGAAGATGACCCCTGTGGATAAGAGGAGATTGTTGTATTGAGTGTGGATGGGACATTGCCTGCTTTTCAGTAACTTTCTCCAATGCCCTCTGCTCCTCAGCTGGTATGTTTGGATGGGAGGAGCAGAGGAAGATAGAAAAAACACATTGAACAAGCTGGGCATGCTATCAGGGGAAAGATGTGATACTTACGGGAGAAGGGATGAGAGGAGGATGGTGCACCTCTGTCGCCTCTGTTTGTGGAGTGGAGCATCATACTTTGGTTTGAGATGATGCTGGACTGAGCATTAGCATGAAAGGAGGCTGTTAGCAGACAGCACCAGCAGAACCCTTGGGAACTGTCCCTTCACAGAATCACTGACCACACTCAGTGGCAGAAACTAGAACTCTGTTGATTATCTACCAAAGATGCATAGCAATCCTGAGAGAACTTATTCAAGAAATGCAGCTGATGGCTGAGAGATGGCTCAGTGGGAAAGGACACCTGCTGACAAGCCTGATGACCTGAGTTCAAACCCATGCGATGGAAGGAAAGAACCAACTCACCCAAGTTGTTCTCCGACCTCCACATAAAGTCCCCTGTTTCTTACATGTGCCCACAACAGATACACACACACACACACACACACACACACACACACACACACACACACACACACACACACACAACCCAAATGAACAAAAAGGTAGTAACAACAACAAAAACAGCTGGATTTTGGAGAGAATAGCAAGTTGATGGCATTGTTTTAAAACTATTGAAAGCTGGTATCTTTTACCTATCACTTCTCTACTTCCCTAATCCTGAAGATCAACTAATCCACTTCATGTTCCTGTGACTTGTCTGTTCTGAACATTCCAGAATTCCATTATGAAATAATATTACAACCTGTCTCCTTCTATGCCTGACTTAATCCCACTTATAATATTTCTGAGGTTCATCTGACTGTTGCATGCAGCAACAGCAGTTTATTTTTAAAGGCTTGTTTTACATGTATTTATATGTATTTGTGTGTGTAGATGCATATGTATGCAGGGCCTGTGGAGGCCAGAAGAGGTCATCAGCTCTCCCTAGAGCTGGAGTTGCAGGTGATTGTGCACTGTCCTACATGGGTGCTGGGAATCCAGTGGCAGTCCTCAGCAAGAGAAGCAAGCACTCTTAACTGCTGAGCTGCTTCTCTAACTCCAGCAGCTTATTTTTTATTACTTAATAATGCCCTATTGGATGGACACACAGCACTGTTTTGTCTGTTCATTGGACAGTGGATATCCATCATCTCCACCTTTTGATGAAACAAAGAGTGATGCTGTGATCCGCTGGGTAGAGTGGCTGTGTACATAAATTCATTTCCCCTGCTCTGCTTCCATCCTAACCCTCCAGACCACAGAAGCCTTGAAAATCAGCAGTCAGAAAAGCACAGCAATAACCAACCACCAGGAGTTACTGGAGAGAGCAGAGGAGACACTTCAAGCTGGTTCCCAGGGTCCTGCCCTCCTTCTCTGGCCTCCCTATCTGTTCCCTTAGAACTCCTACACACAGGCTGCCTTTATTTGACCTGATTTGGAGTGGGCCCATTGGGAACAGTTTTCATTTGAATCTTTTTAATCTGGGAGTTGAAAACAATTAGTGGCAATTGCTATCAGAGGCACTGAGGCAAAACAGCAGGTTAATCAAAAAACTAAAGAGGGGACTAGGGATGTAGTTCAGTAGTGGGGCACTTGTTGGGCCTGGGTCAAGGGCCTGGGTTCAAGCCTTCACCAGGTTAAATGAAAAGTCAGGAAAGTGAGCTGTGTCGTGAGATGCCACAGCAGGCTAGTCTATGAGTGCTCAGGAACAACCCAGGACTTCCTGATCCCTGAGCAGGAAGTAAAGGCTGAAGCCGAGCTGTAGACTGCCTGGCTAGTACTGACTCTAACAGACTCTCCCAGGAAGCGATGGGGCCATTCATAGGATCTGGACATTCCATAAAAATCTGTGTGGTTTTTGTGTGGTCACCAGGCTGAGTGAGCCAGACTTCAATGGTTGACATAACAGAGAATACAGGGTTCACAGAACCAGTTCAGACAAAGTTAAGAACAAACATCAATAATAAGTCCTTAGGGAGTAGAACTCGAGTTCCAAAAATTGCCCTGCTGTATTATGTAATATGAGTAATTTATAGGTAAGCAAAACAAACAAACAATTCAAAACAGAAAATAACTCTCTCACCAGAAAAGTATGATCTGGTTACAGGAAAACAAAGTGGGTCAAAGAGGTGGCACCTGAGGAAATCAGATCTCAGACTTAACAGGGACTTAATTATTTTATTTTACTTTTAGTTATGTGTATGTATTATGTCAGTGTATGGGTATGTGCACAAGAGGTTAGAGGCATTGGATCCTCTGGGACTGTGGGAGCTGGGAATTGAACTCTGGTCTTCTGCAAGAGAAGTGAGAGCTTTTAATCTCCAAGTCATCTCTCTAGTCCCTTTATTTTATTATATTTAAAGATAGGATGTCATGTAGCTGGCCTTGAACTTGCTGTATAGCTGAGGATGACTTAGAACTCCTGAAGCTCCTGCCTCTGCCTCCTAAGGGCATGCATGCCACTATCTTACTGGGTAGAAAAGACATTAAATTAGCTATCTTAAGCACATTCAAGCAATTGAAAGAAAGTGTGCACAGGAATCTGAGCATGGTGGCACACACCTGTAGTCCCAGAACTAAGGAGGCTGAGGGTGGAGGGTTGCCCATGTATTCAAGGCCAGCCTGGGCTACAGAGTGGACTCTGCCCCAAATGAAACAGAACAACACAAAGAAACTAAAGGAAAAAATCGAGAACATTCTCTCGCCAAACAGAACACTTTAATAAAAGGCAAAAATTATAAGAGAACCAAATGAAAACTCTGAAGTTGAAAGTAAGTAATTGAGATGAGAGTTTCACTAGAGGAGACTACGGTGAATGTGAGGAGTCTAAGAAAGCACCAGAGAACGTGGAGAAGAATCAGTAACCTTGAGATCATGAGTCTGAGGGCCAGAATGAGGAGAGAAGAGCAGAGCCACAGAAACTCATGGGAAACCGCCAAAGCCACCAACACATGATGACCAGAGCTTCAGAAAAGACAAAAGGAGGTAGAAAATTTGATCAGTTACCTACCCTATGCCTATCTATTTATTAATCATCTATCAATATATTAATAACTACCACCTATCTATATATAATTGATCTCCTATAATTTCTTCCAAGATCATGGAATGTGTCTTGGATACTCTTTCAGTGTTTCTGTGTTAAATCAGAGGTAATGTGTGTTCCTGACTGGAAACAGTGCAAACACTGTGTTTTCCACCAGCCGGGCCTGGCATGAATAGCAGAATACAATATTGTGTCTGGTGCTAGTGGACAGAGTGGGAGGTGCCTTGGACAGTTAGAGTGAACGTAGCAGAAGCTTGGCCTGGCATTAGTGAAAAGCAGAGCAGAAGGAAGCAGCAATTGACACAGTGGGGAGCAGTATGGTACTTCACAGGAGGTTGTCAAGGAGGAGGGGCGTGGTGCTAGTGTTACTCCTCACTAGCGGTCATGGAGGAGCAGTAGTGTAGGGAACAGAACATTAAGTCTTGTGTTAAGGATGAATTAAGCAAAGTCTGTGTTGAGTATGGTGGGAGGACTGATGAAACAGAATGTTGTTTCAGGCAAACATGAAACAGCTTAACAACCAGGGATTCCACAGACCCTTCTCCAAACAATGCATTCTAGCAACCCAGGACCCCCACCTGCATCATGCTGCATGCCCACTGTGGAAATGAATAGTTTGTGGATAGTTTCTATTCAAATATCTACCAGGATATATCTGGGTACAGGAAGGAGGGGGCTAATCCAGTGTGAACTGGTTTTGGAAGCATGAGCAGTAAGGCATACTGTGTCTTCTAAACAAACTTGTAGGAAGAATTCTGTATTTACCATCTTGTTCTTTTTTTGAGACAGGGCATCACCATATTGTCCTGGCTAGCTGGGAACTCACTATGTAGACCAGGCTGACTCAGAAATCTACCTGCTTCTGCTTGCCAAGTGCTGGGATTAAAGGTATGTGCCACCACACTTTGAGCCTTATTTACTGTTTTATGCCTATACGTAATTGGGTATGCATTTGATTAAAATCAGATGCATAATGGGAAAAACATGCACAGTAAAGTTTATGTAACTCAAATCTGTCAATCACAATAGAGAACCACCCAGATCATACTCTTTAGCCATCAGTCCCTCCTTCAATCTCTATAAAAGGAAGCCCCAAACTGTAACCAGACCTTTGAATCCTCTCTCATTCAGGCTGGCTTCTTCTCTGTTCTGGGGTTCAGTACTCTCCAATGGTGCTACTCACCTTGGGTAGGGAGGCTCGGGAGCCAGAGCTCTGTGTGGTCATGGTGAGCACAGTGGTGATGCCCAGTCCCACACGAGCTGGTGCAGCATCCATGTTGATCCAGAAGGAGATCCAGGACAGGATGACGATGAGCAAGCTGGGAATGTACATCTGGATCAGGTAGTAGCCCATCTGTCGCTCCAGGTGGAATCGGGCCTCGATGCAGGTGAATTTACCTGCAAGGAGTCATAGCAAAGGAGCCATGGAACATTTTAGAGAGTAGCAATGCTATTTATTAGAGTCAGCTTGACTAGAGTCCTGGTCCAGCCCCATGCTATCTGTGTTCATAGTCAAGTTCTTGAATTGTTCTGTGCCTCAGTTTCCTCACGTAGGGCAAATGGGGTAACCCAGTTGACCCTCCATATACATGGGTTCTACGTCCATGGTTTTAGCCAAGTGCAAGTAGAAATGTTCAGAAGTTCACATGCAGGCTTTGTCTTTATCATCACAACCCAGACAACAGGTGAACATCTGTCTTCACAGAATTTACACTAGTTAGGTATTGTCAGTCATCCTGAGATAATGCATGCAGAAGGATGTGTGTATGTCACATACAAACACTGCCCCACTCTACCAAGGGGACTTGAACATCTTTGTCATCTTTCATCTAGGTATCTGAGGGTGTCCTGGAGACAACCTCCTGGGAATACCGAAGGATGACAGAAATAAACACACACACACACACACACACACACACACACACACACACACACACACACATGCTGACACACACCAAATGAATAAATACGTGTAGTTAAAAAAGAAGAGTAACCATATGCAATGTGTGTGTGTATTTATGTACAAAAGTGAGCATGTCATACTATGGCCCTTGTGTGGAGGTCAGAGAACAATTTATGAGTGTGAGTTTATCCTTCCACCATTTGGGTTCTGAGGATCAACCTATGGGTGTCAGGCTTGGTGGCAAGCACCTTTACTCTCTGAGACTTCTTGCCAGTCCTCTTAGGGTTTTTGTGGAGTGAAATGAGATGGTTCTTATGAAGAACTATGACAGTCCTCACACATCATGGATACTCAGCAGCAGCATTTGCCATCATGACCAGTATCATCATCATAATTATTACCATCACTAACTTCATTATCACTATCATCTCTATCACCCTTATCATCTCAATATCATTACCATAATCATCATTGCCACCATCACTGAATCAGCGTCATTACCACCACCATCACCACCATTTGTTTGCTAAGAAAGAGTGTAAGTAGAGTTTCCAGACCCTTCTGTTCTGGTGTCCCCAAATTTGACTTGATTCTATTACTACTTGTAAACATTTTGTTTGAGATGTTCACTCCCACATTCTTGGACACCTTTCTTCCCAAGCATTTCCCTTTCTTTTAACTATTGGGTTTAAAAATGACTGAATCAACCCCAACTCTGTTTAAGAATGCCTCTGTTAGTTCCTTCTTTATTTATATGAAGCATTTCCTATTCTCTACAGGAAAGTTCCAACTCTCTAGATTGTCCTGCCCATTTGACCTCTGGTTTGTCTTTCTAACAACTTCTCTCTCTCTCATTATCCTAATGATTTCTCTCTGTCCCCTGTCCTTGTCTGAGCATGCCTATCTCTTCACCCTTCTGAGCTTTGACCTTGCCAGCCTCTTAGCTGCAAGGCCCTTCTTCCTTCTCACAGCCCAGGAAATGCTTTCCTCTTGCAGGGCAGCTTATTCACCAGCTGGCAGAAAGTCCCTTTCCTTGGTGTGTTCTCAGCTCTGCTTATGGGATCCCCTGAGCCTTTAAGTCTCAGAACAGCAGGTGAGTGAGTGAGTGAGTGAGTCAGTTTCTCTTTTTTGCTCTTTGGCAGCATTGTTTTTATATCTCTTTTCACTCATGTATTACCAGAACTGGGACAATGTCTGTCCCAGAGAAGTCTAAGTTCCTGTCTACTGAAGCCAGTACCCAGGAGATTTCATGGGGCTCCATGCGATCAGAGGCCCGTCTCTCTGTCCCCACAGGGCCTGGCTCAGGACTGGGAAGGTCAAGAGTGGAGGAGGTAATGACAGGGAAGGTTCCCTGCACACCAGACTCTTTGCATCTCTGAGCTGCTGTCGGTAATGCTGCTGCAGATGCAGGAGAGCAATTGTGTCTCTGAAATCTTTTTTTTTTCTAGATGAATATGTAGAAGTGGATTGCTGCATCAGGATCATCAGGATGCAGTTTTCAATGGATGAGAAGAGAAAATAGTAGGGTATTATCTTTAAAAATAAGAAAATTGGGAAGAGGAGATGGCTTATTGGGTGACATACTTGCTTGGGTGAGCAGCTGTAATCCCAGTGCTGAGAAGGAGGCAGATGAATCCCTGGAGCTTTGTGGCCAGCCTCAGTTTTAATACATGAATGGAATTGGCAGGCCCTTTCCTACCAAGTGAAGTGAACCAGACCAAAGACAGGTACTTTTCCATTTCATTTATGCATGCAGCCTGTGGCAATCAAACTCACAGAAGCAGAAGGTTTCGGAATGATGGTGTTTAAATGAGATGTTGGTCAAAGGGTGCAAAGACTCAGTCATGCAAGATTTCTAGACTTTGGAGATGTAGTACTGTGATCCTGGTTTGATCCATATATATACACAGTCCTTCAGCCCTTTGCTAAGAGGGTAGATCTTAGGTGTATGTGTGTGTACGTACATATGCATGAGGCAATAATATGGTTATTAGCTTGATTGTGGTATTTGTTTTATAATAGATAGCAATACACATGAAGGTGCACGTTAATCAATTATACCCCAGGGAAGAGTGGAATAAAAAGGAAATGCTGCCTGCTGGCAAAGGCTGTGGCTTGGGAGGCTCTGCTGTGATATTTCGACCGACGGTCAAGTGGTTGCTCGTGGTGGCCATTGGGAGTGCTCAGGGGTGAAGTGCATCTTCAGACATTAGAGACTTCTGTGTAGTGACACGGAAAGCTGTAGCTGTCCCAGGCAGACCAGAGCCCAGGCTCCTTGTCTCTTCCAGGGATTTTCAGTTACAGTGGCTTCTCCTGCCCTCTACCTCCTTCTTCCTTCCTGGACCTGTCATTCTCCTACAGCAGACACACCTCACCTCTGTTCAGCTGGGGTCACCACATCTTCTTACCAGCGTGCCAGCCGGCATGCCAGCCCTCATGCCCCTCCCACCGGCGCTCACATGAGCTGGTTTCCCATCTGAGATGGGGCATATGTGGGTTTATGGCCTCACCCCAGTTCCTTCCTGAATTCGGCCTCTCCTAGCAGAGGTTAGGTTAGTCATGGAAGACAGAGAGCTTACCAAGCTTCTGGACTCCCCCTCCTCCACCCATCATGGCTCCCAGAGAATGGGCAGATTTCTTTTTTTTAAGTTTAAATTAGAAACAATCTTATTTTACATATCAATCCCAGTTCCCTCTTCCTCCCATCCTTCCATGCACCCCACCGACTCCCCCATTCCATCCCTCTTCTGCTTCCCAGGGAGGGTGAAGCCTTCCATGGGGGATCATCGAAGTCTGTCACATCATTTGGGGCAGGACCTAGGCCCTCCCCAATGTGTCTAGGCTGAGAGAGAATCCCTCTAAGGGGAATGGCCTTCCAAAGTCCATTTGTACACTAGGAATAAATACTGTTCCACTACCAGAGGCCCCATAGACTTCCCAGGCCTCCTAACTGACATCCACATTCAAGGGGCCTGGTTCCATTCTATGCTGGTTTCCAAGCTGTCAGTCTGGGGTCTATGAGCTCCCCCTTGGTTAGGTCAGCTGCTTCTGTAGGTTTCCCCAGCCTGGTCTTGACCCCTTTACTCATCACTCTGAGAATGGTTACAAATTATCAATTAGAAGGGTCCAAGGCAAGCACTTTACATCTGCACTATCAGAAACACAAGTTTCTGTGTGGCAGAGCTCACCCTCCATCTACCAACTCCCACTCCTTGCCTCAGCAGCAGGACCCTCTACCTACAATAAAGAGTATTTATTGACTTCCTTTGTAGTTAGGTATGGGTGAAGCTTAGGTTAACATCCCCAGGACTCACAGAAACAACATCTCAATGTCACTTTTTTTTGGTTATTGCAAACCTATTCTATTAACTACTGGGTAATAAATACATGCAGTTCTGCAGCTGAATGGTGTCTGAAATGACTAGGGTCCTGGAGAGCATGATGGCCACTTGCACCCACCTGTGTTGTAATGCTTGGTGCAGTATCTCAGGTCCTTCTCTTCTTTCAGGATAAACTGAGGCAGGGTCAGTCCATCTGCCACCTGCACAGCTCCCTGCTCCTGCCACTCAAAGATGAGGTCATTCATGGTGTATCCAACTGGGAGGGATTGGAACAAGGAACAGTTAATAAGGTGTCTGCATTATACTTAGGGTTGGGGACTGGACAAAGCCCTGGATCATGGTGGAGGTCAGGGGACCCCATTGCGTTTTCTTCTCTACCCTCCTTGTAAAGGAGGTGAAACTTGGTAAATTGTTGAAGTTCGTTCCCCAGCCCTCCTACCTAGGTTTGTCCTGGGGTCCTGGCCCTCACCCCATGACAAAGGGTGATTGACACCAACACTTCTTGCACTTGGCACCCCTCAAAGCTTCCCCTTTTGTTCCCTACAGGTTTTCCTCTGGGAGTGACTCTACCACAGGTGATCTCGATGAGAAGCATAGGTGGGAAAGGGTGGCCCAATCAAGGCAATCAGATTTCTGCTTTCAGACCAACTCTTATTTTTCTTGAGACACGGTCTCATGGAGCCCAGGCTAGTCTCACACTCACTGTGTAGTGAGATCTGTCTTCAACCTCACAATATTTCTGCCTCAGCCTCCTGTGGTGTATGCTACCTAGCTATGTCCTACCTGTGTGTGTGGTGTAACATGTGTATGGTTTCATGTGGTTATGTGAATATGTGTGTGTAGGTCAGATCTGACGATGAATGTCTTCCTCAGTTGCTCTCCATATCACTTATTTTAAAAAAGTATTTTATAGTTATTTTAAAATTGTGTGTTTGTGTGCGCACACTTATGCATGTGTATGTGTGGGTGTCACGTGTGCGGATGGCCTCAGAGGCCAGAGGTGGTAGATTTTCCTGAAGCTTGATGATTTGCAGGTGGTTGTGAGATGACCAATGTGGGAGCTGGAGACATTGCAAGAGCAATATGTATTTTTCTTTTAAGAATGTTTTATTTATTTTTGCTTCATGTGCATTGGTGTTTTGCCTGCATGTGTGTCTATATGAGGGTGTTGGATCCCCAAGAACTGGAGTTACAGACAGTTGTGAGCTGCTATTTAGGTGCTAGGACTCCAGGTCCTCTGGAAGAACAGGCAGTGCTCTTAACCAGAGTCATCTCTCCAGCAACCACCTTATTTTTTTGAGACAAGGTCTCTCACTGAACATGGGACTCATTGATCCAGTTGGATTGGCTGGCCAGTGAGTTCCAGAGATCTGCCCATCTCCGCACCCCCTTGCTGTGACTGGCTTTTATGTGTGGGTGGTGATCCAAATTCAGGTTCTGATGCTTGTGTGCCAGGCACTTGCCTGGCTGAGCCTTTCCCGTGGCCCTCTTTCCTGCTTCCAACAATACCCTTCACTAGTTCCTTTCTCTTTGCTACTGACTTGTGCAGTCAGTTGCCTACCTCCCCTGCTGTGGTGAGCATCCTCAGACCATGATTTCTCTAGGCTGTGTCTCTTCATTTCTAGCAGGCACATCACAAGGGCTTCGGCACCATGCTTCCTCCTGGGAGGATGCAACTGACGACAAAGTCTGTACCCCAGTGAGACAGAGCTGGGAAAGTTATATTTCTAATGCATATTCTCAAAGGAAAGCCCCCCCCCAACTTGACATTTTGAGTTATGAAAGTACTCTCCCTGGGTCCAGGGATTAGGGAATTTCTGCCTGGCAATGGGTAGTAGGAACCTGGCTCCTCCTAAAAAAACAAACAAACAGACAAATAAACAAATGATTTGGGTAAAGGACTCACAGCTTTCCAGTTGCATGATGCATGTCTGTACATCCATTGGAAAATTCTTCAGGTCCATTGGGCAGGCCAGCGTCAGGGTGATTCTGAGAAGAGAAGGGACTGGGTTGATATGGGGATCACATTCAGAGAGTGTGTGTCTCCATGCTTTTGCCAGTTGAAGTCATTGCTTCACGTGGGGTCTGGAGACCAGGGGACCAGTGCTTATAGAATAAGTGTGTGCACATTTTCAAGTTCATGGGATGGCAGAGGAGACTTGGTGACAGAAAGGAGATGGCCCAAAATCATCAGTCAGAAGGACTTCTGGGTTTCTCTGGAACTTTCTTGGCTGCTGGAGACCGCTTTTTAGCGGGTTGCTGGGGTACTAGGTGCTGCCCCTATGCCAGCTCTTCCCGTAGGTAGATTCCAGGTTTTCCATTGAGTTCCAGCTTCAGGTACTCCCATGTTTCAGCAGAAAGTGCTGCACATGGCTCTTGGCTGCTTCCATTCACACATCCAACCTGATAGAGGTGAGTTCAGACCCCCAACCCCGACTGCTGGCTATTTTCCCACAGCTGACTCACATCTGTGAGCTCAGGCAGGGACAGGTGGAGAGTAGTGGGAGAGTTATTTATTTTGGGGTGTTCACCCCTTATAAAGGCTGCAGCCCCAGAGTCAGAGGGAGCCCCCTATAGCACCCCAGGGTGGTAGCTGAGTCTTGGTGGAGCAGGCTCTGGGACTGGTTGGCGTGCTCCCTGCTGTCCCGAGGCCAGCCCCACTTCTTTGAGGTAGCCAGGTGGAGATGTCGCCATAGAACATAGCTCCTGCCACCTCAGCGGCACACCTGGCCCTCTGTTAGCTTCCCTTCCAGCTTGCACCACAGGTGAGCCTGTGCTCTCTAAGGATGGCATAAAAGCAGGAGGAGGATGGGGAGGAACAGGGAGGAGAAGGGGGGCAGGGAAGGGGTGGGAGGAGTGAAGAGAAAACGAGCGAGTGAAGCCCATCCCTGAAGATAAAAGCTCCGAAGTGGGGCAGCTGTCAGGCTGGGTTAATTTCCAGATGTTGAATGACCTTGGGACCATCACTTTCTGCTGACCTATCCTTCTGTCAGGTTGCACTGGGACTCTGCTTCCAAGAGACATGAAACTGTCCTGGCAGCAGTGAATTCCAGGGAGAGGTGACACTCCCTCCAGCAGCCCACCAGGGCCTTGGTGGCTGACTCTGGGACCCATGTCATTCTTCATCTAGATGTGGCTGGTAGGGCGAGCTCAGTCAGCAGAGCTTCTGCTGCCCTTCAGTGATCCCTTCCCCACAGTCTGTTGGGGACTGAGTCCTGTACCCTCTAAGGTTTAGGATCAGTCCAGCCTCTCCCTTTTCCACCCTGTCCCATCTGGATATTTAAGGCTCCTTTCTGAATAGGAGATCAGACCTCTCTCCCACTGAGAACTGAAGGTGGGAGGGGCGGTCGGTCACTTAGCACTCTGAAGTTCCTTTAAATCAGAATGTAACTGTTATCATGTATCAACATGCAGATGTAAAGTGATGGCCAGTGGCCACTCTGATTCCCCAGAAGTTCTGGGACCCAAGTGGATAGCTGTGGTTCTTTGATTCTCCAGAGGGCATGGGACCCACACAAGTACCCCATCAGAACCTACTTTTTTATTATTTATTTTTAAGTTTAAATTTAGTTTAGAAACAAGGTTGCTTCACAAGTCAGTTCCAGGTCCCTCTCCATTTCCCTCCCCTCCTCCCATGCTCTTCCCCCCCCCCAATATCCCCTCATTTCCCCAGGGAGGGTGAGGCCCTCCATGGGGGTGTCCACAGTCTGTCATTTCATCCAGGGCAGGGCCCAGACCCTCCCCCAAGAGTTCAGAGTGAGAGTGCATCTCACATTGTTGAATGGGAGTCCAAAGTCCATGTGTATACTCGGGATGAATACTGATCTACTGCCCAAGGCTCAATAGATCAGAACCTACTTTTTGACATGAAAGTACTTTCCCATGGAAATTGGGAAAGTTTCCTAAATTTCCACACCCACACTTTTCTGATGTTCATAACAGGGATCATCAGACCTAGTTCATGAGTTATGTGATATAATACATGAAAAGTGTTCAATGTCATCTGTTCTCCAAGTTGTTGATGCTGTGAGTGTGAGCCCATTTTTCCACTTGCATTGTCCATTGTTCCTGTGCCCTGGAAAGGAGATTGTGTGTGTGTGGTTGGGGGAGAGCTGATGTCACAAGACACTCTGAAAGCTTAACATCTAACTAATGTCTATAGCATACAGGCATGGGGACAGGTCCTGCCTCCCAAGGCTTAACACAGGGCAAGTGGGGTTCAAAGTGGGGAGGCAGCAACCCTGGCTCATCCTGTCAGACTGTGCCATTTACGCGGTGGTCTCATTTACCACCAAGATGTTGTGTCTTGGCAAATTTTGTTCTTCTATGCTTGCTACTGATCACGTCCAAGAAGTCTACTTTTGTGGACTCTATTACAATTGTCCACTACACATGGTGACTTGAACTCCACCTTCCATTACAAGCCTTTCCCACCCTCTCTTCATGCTTGTGATGAGACCCATTCCTAGGACTCCTTGACCTTGTGGTTGGCTCCGGAACTCACCTGATGCTGTAGAGGACATTGCCGTTCCGGGAGATTCTCAGCAGTTTGTTGTCAGTGGTGATCTCATGGAAGTGGGCTCCCTTCTCATTGGCGAAGAACAGGTCAGGCTTCCAGATAGAATCCAACATGGATGGGTCCAGGTCCAGGGAGTCATCAGGGTATTCATTGTAGGCCAGACGGGGGTCATTCCACTGCTGCCTCAGGAAGATGTTGACCCTGTAGTCCTGCAGCCCCAAGACAGCATGGGGGTGGGGTTAGGCTCTGGATGCCAACTCTCAGAGGACACTGGTACTTATGGCTCATGGACCCTAAAACCTATCCTGGAGGAGGCTGAGTGTGGCTGCCTCTCCTGGTGTGCCTGAGCACCAGGGGACCAACAATTGCTCCTCTCTATCCTCAGTTAAGTATATACTCAAATCTGAACTTTAGAAGAAATGTTTTATTTGGAAGGAATTTTAGCTGGGCATGGTGGCTCATGCCTGTAATTCCAGCATAGGAGGTTGACGCAGCAGTACTGCCATGAATTTGAGCCCAGCCTGAGTTGTATAGCAGATACTGGGTCAGGACTGCAGAACACAACCCTGCCTTAAAACAGCAAACAAAGCAAAATAAAAAAAATAAAAATAAATTTCAAAGACTCATGTAATAGATCTGTCTTCTTTTTCTTTAAAATTAAAAAGCTTTCTTTCTTTCTTTTTCTTTCTTCCTTTCTTTCTTTGTTTCTGTCGTGTGTGCAGCATATGTGTGATGGTCAGAGGACAACTAGTAGGTCCAGGGGATTGAACCCGGGTCATCAGACTTGATGGCAAGCACCTTTACCTGCTGAACCATCTCTCCCCAGTCTCCTGTTTTTATCTCCCTGTTAACATTTTGTTATATTTACTTGCTATTTTTTGTTTTGTTTTAGACAGGATTTCTCTGCATAGCCTTGGCTATCCTGGAACTCACTCTGTAGATCAGGCTGGCCTCTGCCTCCTGAGTGCTGGGATTAAAGGTGTGTATTGACATGTCCACCTTACTCCTCCACATTGCAGATAAGTGTAAAAAGAGAAGTTCAAGGTCATTCATAGCTGTGTAGTTTGATGTCTTGCTGGGATACAAGAGACTCATTTGGCCAGGGTAGGTCCTGCTGAAGCTTTGTTCAGGCTGCTCTCACCGAATGTAGAGTTACAGAGAGGCCATTTGATTTCTATTCACCCCTGGGAAAGCTGTCCCAAGACACTGGGCAGATGTAGCTAAGGAATATTCCACAAAAAGATAGATATATTTCAGTAGGAAGTCTTTTAGGTGTTGGAGAGATTGCTCAGTGGTCAAGAGCACTTGCTGCTCTTCCAGCAACCACATTGCAGCTCACTTGTGACTCCAGCTTTGGGGCAATCTGACACCCTCTTCTGGCTTCTACCAGAACTGCACACACCCAGTCATGTACACAAACACACATATAAAAACAAAGTAAGACTTAAAAAAAGGCAAGTGTTTTAATTTTGCTGGAGAGGTACTGTAAACTTGGGGTCCATGAAGTGTAGTGGCATTGCAGATAGAATTTGGGGTGCATTTGTTTCCCAAGGTGAAAGGGCATATCATCAGTGTTGGGTTCCCCAAAGGGCATCACTTTCCCACAGCTAATGACCCCAAGTCTGACTTTTGGTGCCAACCTTCAAGAAATAACACACACACACACACACAGATACACATACAGCCACATCCATGCACCTACCCACTCACCCTCACATCCCTCCACACTCATACATACCCACACGCATGTGTGTGCATACACACCCACACCCTCATGTATGTACACACTCACACAACACACACACCCATGCACATCCCCCCATACCCATGCACTCACCCATGCATATAACCACACCCATGTTTGTGCTCCAGCACACACACACACACACACACACACCATGCACACACTCAAGATATCACTCTTTCCCTAAGGGTGCCATAAAAATGAGGCCACACTGTATTTCCTTTTGTGGTGCTGCTTCTGAGGCCTCATTAGTCTTGATCAGTCACTAGCAGGGATGAGTGAAAACAAATGGTCTTCCCATGCTCACTCCATCCCTGTCCACTGCCTCTTACGTGCTTCATTCTGGTGGAAATATCGATAGCTTCATAAAATGTTTCAAAGCATTTTTATAGGATTTTCCTATAATTTAATTGCAGCCTGTCCCTCAAGTCCCATAGAAAGTGACATTGGTCTCATAATCTCAGGTCTTATGAGTCCCATGATGGGGGCTAGGGATGGATATTGTTTAAAAACTCCAGTTCCAGGAGATCTGACAACTCTTCTAGCTCCCCACTGGGACTGCATGCACAGATATACATGAGGTGAAATACCCATACATATCAAATAAAGATAAAGAAAAATGAAAAAATTTCTAATTATGTTTGTTTAGTCTCTCTCTTTCTCTCTCCTCTCTCTCTCTCTCTCTCTCTCTCTCTCTCTCTCTCTGTGTGTGTGTGTGTGTGCACACACACACACAAGCACATGCACGCATGTATGTGTGTGTGTCTGTGTCTCTCTGTATATGTATGTGTTCATGCACAAGCATATGAGTGAAGATGTGCAGGTCAGAGGACAACTCACAGAGGCAAATTCTTTCCTTCCCCTATGTAGGACTCTGGTCTCGAACTCTGGTTGTTAGGCTTAGTGGCAAATACCTTTAACCACCGAGCCATCTCACCAATGATGAATGTTGGGCTGTATTTTTCTTGCATCGGTGGCAGCATCTCTGAAGGTAGCCCCCTCTCCTCCTTTGGAGCATACACAGAGAGTGTGTGTTAGGATGGGTTCTGGGAAACCCACCTGCAAGCGAATAGACTACGAATGGTTGGGCAGAAAAAGCCTCCAGTCCCAAAATCCCAGTCATACTTTTGATGTTCTTGCTAGTGACATGTCAAGACTGTGCATGTAGCTTCAAGGAAGAAAATGAAGTGACATTTCTTAAAATGTTTTCCATACTCTCACACACATTTAATTCTCAAAAAAGCTCTGCCAACAAACACCCAGACTGCTATAACAAGGGAAAGAAATGGGCTTGGAAAGGCTGAGGGATGTGTCTAAGAACAGGGTTTATGGTTGGGGAATCTAGGGCTGTGATCCATTGACCCAACCCTCTAGTGAATGCTTGACTTTAATGGAGGAAGTTGGTTCTTGCTTTGAATGCTCTGGCCCTTGTTGTCTGACAAATTCTGTGAACTCAACTTAAGCCCCAGTCACTTTAGGAGCTGGATGCACTAGGTATGCCCTGGCTTTCTTGCTGAGCTCACAGTACGATAGAATCCTCAGAAACGCCCATCTGAGTTCTTCCTTCTTCAGAGAGGCTCCTCTCACAAGTGTGATTGGCAACATTTGGAAAGGATGATGCTGAACTCATATTTTTCCTGCAGCATCTCTGCTTCCCCTACTAGCCCTCCCCTACTTTCATGTCTTATTTTTTCTTTTTGCAGAAGTAATGCATGGAAATAAATAAATTGGTGCATCATTTGAAAGAAGGAAATAGACCCCACAGGATCTCATTATAAAATGACTAATGAGAATCAGAGCAAGAGACTGAGACAGCCTATTGTAGAGTCCCTGATGCCTAACTTCTTCTCTGATCCATGGCCCAGTTCCTGACAGCTTCCTTGGCTTCTGAGTTCTCCCCATGACCATTGGCTCCTCCTGGAATCTGTTTCTCAGACAGGGTCTCACCATGGAGTTTTCCTTCTAGGGTTGGTAAACAGTAGGGAATGAAGATCAGAAGGGATCAAAATAAGTGATTCAGTGGGCTGAAAACCAAATGCTTCTTCAACTTCTTAGCCATACACTTTGCTGGCTTGGTGTTTGACATATGTGGAGTCCATGTGCAAGAGCCAGACAGGCAACAGCGGAATTCTCCAACCAAGGACTTAAGGACCTACTTTCTCAAAGGCAACTCAAATTTCCAAAGTGGGGCACTCAGAGGTATAGTCAGTCCAACTATCTTCAGCATCAACTCACCCATCCATCTACCATCCATCCATCCATCCATCCATCCATCCATCCATCCATCCATTCATCCATCCCATCATTCATTCATCCATCAGCTATCCAACATCTACGTGTCCATTTATCCATCTATCCACTTATCCATCCACCATCCCATCATTCATCCAACCATCATCCATCGGTCCATTTATCCACCTGTACACCCATTCATTCGTTCATTCATCCACCCATCCATACTCTAAATATGTGAGGGTTTCCTATTTGTCACTTATAATTGGATTTCCCCTTCTTTCCCTCCTTATGGCATCTAATTTAACATTCTAACATCGAAGAAGCCCCTTTAAATTTAGAATTGGGGTGAAATGGAAGCTCAAAATGTTTGAACAGGGAAGATCTCAGATCTTGGTAGGGTGTGTAATTAGAAAGGAGATGTGGAAGACAAGAGGCCCACTTGCTGTTGTCAGAGGCAAGGGACAAAGGCAGAGACATGGGTGGATGGAAGAAGCAAATCATGTTCCTCTTTTTCTTTTTATGTGTAGCCCAGGCTGTCCTTAAACTCTCCACCCTCCTGCTCCAGCCTCCTGAGTGCTGGATTGTAAGTGAGTGCCACCTTACTTGACCCATGCACCTTTTAAAAAACAATGATTTATTACTTTTTGGGGTGCGTGTGTATGTGTGTGCACACACTATGGCATGGGTGCTGAGGTCAGAAAACAACTCACAGGAGTTGGTTCTCTCTTTCTGTTATGTAGATTCTAGGGCTCTAACTCAGTTTGTGAGGCATTGTGGCATTTGCCTTAACCAGCTGAGTCATCTGCCAGACCCTGAGAACATTTTGAAGTCTTAGCCTTCAGCTTTCAAGGAGACTTTGTTAAACTTAACAGACTCTTACCATTGATGGGGCTGCATTGGATACAGACAAGTAGAAGCAGAAACAGAGGCAGAAGGTTTTGGTTTCTACACTTGGGGAACTCAGATTATCCATCACACAAGGTAAGCTATGGTCTTAGGATATACCAACAAACTGTTATCAGATGCAGCCCTTAAACCACAGGGGCTTGCTTCCAGAGAGGTTAGATGAGAAGGTGGCACATGAGATGCCCATTTCAGTTTATCTTTACACCTGACCCAGAGCAACTTTTGCACAGAGATACAGACAGCACCTGCTTATGGTATCTGCTTAGCTGGGAAAAGAGCCAACAGTGTGTGAGGACAGAGGTGATGTGTGAATGCCTAGAGCAG